CATTATGCTGAGTTAGAAAAACAAAACGAAAAGCTAGTTTCCAAAGGTCACACACTGTATGGGGCCATTTATATGGCATTCCCGAAAGGAAACATGGCCAATGGAGTCGGGTGGCGGGGAGCAGGAGGTGACTAAAGGCGACACAGATGGAGGTCCTCCCAGCAGGGAACAGTGCTGAGTCTTGATGGCAGTGCTGGTCGCGTGAGTCTGCAGCTGTGATAAAATGACAGAATTGGGTGCACATGCGCTGTGCCAACGTCAGTTTTCCTGGTTTGAGAGATCTGTTCTTAGTGCTGCAGTTATGTAAGAGTTTTTACAGTATATACATAGTTATGTAAGATACAAGCCTGGGGAAAACGGAGTGAAAGGTACATGGGACCTCTCTGTGCTATTTTTGAAGCTTCCTGCGAATCTGTAATATTTCACAACTGAATAACAGCCACAATCATCTCCCATGTGTGGCTCGCCTTGTATTGCTCTTGGGGAGTGCTGCTTTGCACCTGAAAAGGCTCTGGTGGGTCATCCAGGCCCGAGGTACGTGCCCAGGATGCAGCCCTATTGCCCCTCCTCTGCCTCCCTGTGTCCTGTAAGTGGGCAGGGATGGCCTGGGACATCTCAGCCAGGTAACAAATGAAAGGATCTTCGTGTCACTCTCACACAACAGCCTCCTGGGAAATGCTGTTTTTTGTTTGTTTGGTTTTTTTACTTATTTTTGGCTACCTGTGTTTTAAAATCATGAGTTTTCATTTTCCAATGTTTCAAAGCTGATTACTTTTTCTAAAGCCCAGCCTTTGCAGATCACATTCAAAAGTAATCTTTTACCACCTCACATCCATTAGGATGGCTTCTATTTTTTAAAAAATCAGAAACCAACAAGTGCTGAAGAGGAGGTGGAGGAACTGGGACTCCAGCCCCTGTTGGTGGGATGGAAAGTGGTGAAGCCGCGTGGGAGGCAGCATGGAGGGTCCTCCAAAAGTTAAACGTAGAGCTGCCATGTGACCCAGCAATCCCGCTTCTGAGATACACCCCGAAGCACTGAAGGCGGCTCCCACAGAGGTACGCGGGAACTCCGGTCCCAGCAGCATCTATTTGCAGGGGTCCTCAAACTACGGCCCGCGGGCCACATGCAAATACAAATATTGTATTTGTTCCCGTTTTGTTTTTTTACTTCAAAATAAGATATGTGCAGTGTGCATAGGAATTTGTTCATAGTTTTTTTTTTAAACTATAGTCCGGCCCTCCAACCGTCTGAGGGACAGTGAACTGGCCCCCTGTTTAAAAAGTTTGAGGACCCCTGATTCACAGTAGAGAGACCACGGCAGCAATCCAAATGGCCAGGCAGAGGACAGATAAACAGTGTGCTCCATGCAGACAGTGGAGTGGGATTCAGCCTCAAGAAGGAAGGACGGTCTGGCACAGGCTGCAGCACGAGTGAACCCTGAGGACATGATGCGGAGTGAAATAAGCCAGTCGCACAGAGATGGATACTGTATGTACGTGAGGGACCAGAGTAGTCACATGCCTGTTAAGTGGTCTTTTTAAACTGTCCTGTGCATGTTCTGCCATCGAGTGAGCCTGGGCTTCCTCTGCCCTCCCGGGACCCTGCACCGCCCTGTCTGCCGGGGCCTGGGCGCCAGGTCTGCGCTGGGATAAAGGGCAGTCCCTCGGATTCTCAGGTCACTGCTGGGTGAGCGCAGGCTTCAACTCCTCGTGCTGGTGTCCTGGAAAAACACCGTGTTTTTACAGAAAATGTGCCAAGCTCGCAGTAGTCTGATGAGGTTTCTGGGCTTTCCGCGCTGCCGGTGGCGGTGGGGCCTCTTGCCATCTCAGTCCTGCACGGTGGACATCGCAGCCTGGAGCGGAAGCGGCCCGCACACCGCCCACCTGAGGGCTGGGTCCGGCGCCACGGCTCCGCGCCCGGGAGCACGGCCGTCCCGGAGGATGGCAGGGCCTGATGCGCTCAGGCAGCTGCTCCGCCCGGGCAGGTGGCCGCTGGGTGGGACTCGGAGGGCCAGCTTCCCGGTGACCACAGGGAGCCTGTGCCCGTCGTTCTAGAGCAGCGGTTCTCAACCTCGGCTGCACGTCAGGATCACCTGGGGATCTTTTTAAAATCCTGATTTCTGGGCCTCATCCTCCAGAAATTCTGTTTCTTTGTTATGGGGGGGGGGGGGCACAGCATTAGTAACAAAGAAATAGAATTTCTGGAGGATGAGGCCCAGAAATCAGGATTTTAAAAAGATTCCCAGGTGATCCTGACGTGCAGCCGAGGTTGAGAACCGCTGCTCTAGATTTTTCCCCCCATTGTTGACCGTGTAGGGTTTCCCTGGGGAGCTGAAGCATTTGCCAGTGTCTCCCCAGAAGCAGAAGATGAGGACACATTTGTTTGGCCAAATCTGGGTCCTTCCACCAGCCCCATCTGTGTCCTCCCAGAGGCCCCGACCACCCCTTGCCCTGCAGTGGGCCGTGGCGGGGAGGCTCACGCTTGTCCTGCTGCCCCAGCTGAAGCCATCCTTTAGCACAGCCTGGTGGTAGGTGTCCCGGGAGTGCCTGGTGAGGGAGGGGCGCGTCTTATTAGAGCTGATACAATGTTCTCCAGGCGCAGACACTTGCCCGAAAGGCTGCCCTTTCCTGTAAGAGCATCGTTGCTTTGTAAGATTTGACTATCACAGGTTTTCTGTTTAAACTGTCTTCCAAGTATGTGTAGCAGGAAACCCTCAAGTAGCCTTAGCGTCCAGGGCAGTGAGGCGAGCACAGGCCAATGCCCCCCTCTCCCCGGAGGCCACAAAGGAGAACCAGTCAGCTCCAGGCCTGGCCTGCTCGGGGCAGGAGCAGCTGGGGCCTCCGAGGCCTGGGCCAAGGTGGCGCCAGGACGTGCTCCGTAAATACCGAGAGAGTGAGCGAAGCAGTTAAGATCACTTTGTACTTGAAACGAGTAGACTTTCCAGATCTCACTGCTAATCTAACCAGACTTTTTAACTTCTTGGCGTACATTGTACAAATGAAGTATTTGAAACTTTTCGACCAACTCGTGATTATCTGGCGGTCCGGTCACCAGCTGCCTGGGCCCAGCTGTAACGGAGGATTGTGTGCAGATGCGTGAGGACCGGCGTGCGGAAGCGGTGGCCAGTCTGCTAGTGCCTGGCCACGTGTGCTGAGCCTGTGCTGCTGTCCCACCTCGGGGCCCTCCAGGTCCAGTGAGCGGAGAGTCACTAGATCAGGGGTCCTCAAACTTTTTAAACAGGGGGCCAGTTCACTGTCCCTCAGACCGTTGGAGGGCCGGACTATAGTTTAAAAAAAAACTATGAACGAATTCCTATGCACACTGCACATATCTTATTTTGAAGTAAAAAAACAAAACGGGAACAAATACAGTATTTGTATTTGCATGTGGCCCACGGGCCGTAGTTTGAGGACCCCTGCCCTAGATAGACAGCACACACATTGATGGTCACAGCGGTGCCAACTGGTGAAGGGAAATTGCAGGGCACTTTCAGGAAGTGGACCCGTGGGTCAGAAAGCACTCCCTGAAGAAGTGACAATTACACGAAGACGAGAGGAGTAGGCACCAGCGAGCCGCAGAGATGGGGAGAGGCTCCAGGCACGTGTGTGGGAGGCCTGGAGGCAGGAGGGAGCTGGGAACTAAATAAAACAAGGCTGTGGTGGCCGCGAGGGCCAGTGAGGGGGAGGTGGGCACAGGGTGTGAGGACTGCAGCCCGTACCCCAGTACCAGGCTGGGGTTTGGGTTTGATCCCAGGAACAGTGGGACGCCGCTAAGCTTCGGGTTGGCAAGTAACCTGATTGGGCTCATGTTCTAGAAGAACCCCTATGCAGTGTGGAAAATGGGGGGCCAGCCAGGGGAGAGCAGGAAGAGCCACCTTCCAGGTGGGAGAAGGTGGGGCGTGGCCCAGGGAGGTAGTGGAGACTGCTGGGAAAAATGCACCCTGGCTGTTTCTTTGTCATTTTAGGGCAGATGGGCAGTCCCATCTCCCTGCCTTGTCTCCCTGTTTATTCCCTCGGCCGCAGTGAGGTTCTCTTCTCTGCTGACGAAACGTATGTTCGGCAGATCGGAGTTTTCATCTGGACTTTGCATTGTCTGCGTTTCATTCTTCAAGCTCCCGGGGAGAGGGGAGGCTTGTGGAATAGCTTTCAGGAAGTGCCAGGCCGCACACTTTCCCCAAAGGTGTACCCAGCAGAGAGGCTCGGGCACAAGTAGGATGCAGGAAGGATGCCGGGTTGGCTTATCCGGGGATGGAGGGCGTGGGAGAGAAGGGAGTCACACTGGGTGGCATTGTTGATGCCAGGTGTATCGCACTTCATGCTTCCCCACAACTGCATGAGGTGAGCCTTTTCATTTCCATTTCACAGGTCAGGAACCGGGCTCTGGAATTGACATGTGCAGGTCACCCTGAAATAAGTGGGGGGTCTGAGCCCAGCTGCCTCTGTGCAGGTCACTCTTGAGCTGTACCTTGAGGATGAGTAGGGAATAGACGTGACCGGATCTGACAGGTTTTGTGGAGAGCAGGGGCGCCCCCTCCACGAGGTCACGGCTGCCTTAGTTCCCGGAGAACCGAGTGCTCCCTGCGTTGCAGGCCCCGGGCGGCAGCTCCAGGCGCGGTTGCCCTGGAGGAAGTCACAGTCCAGTGAGGGCGGGAACAGAAGTGACAGTGTGAACACCGGCTTTTAAAAAAATGCCGATATGTTTATTTTACAAATGGAAACACGGCTAATATAAAAAGGCGAAAGTGAATTCATGAAGACTTCCTCGTAGAGGCCACTCAACTCAATTGCTTTTATTAAAAACAACATTATTTTGGGTAAGAACACATTTCAAGGCCCCAACCCCATCCCACCATAAAGAGCCCCCCCCCCCCCCCCCCCCCCCCCCCCGTGCATGTGCCTCAAAGCCCAGGCGCAAGGAGGCCTTTAGCAGGAATTGTCTTTTCAAATTGCTTTGGCAAAAAGCCCGTCATTAACGACGCTCTCTCTCTCGTGCCTGACAGGTGTCGGCGATGGCGGAGGACGGCAGCGAGGAGATCATGTTCATCTGTGAGTGGCCTGTGCGCCGTGTGGCCGATGTGGCGCCGGCTGTCCGGGCAAAGCCACGTCCACGTTGCGTCTTTATAGGACAGGCAGAAGGGCTGTTTCTTTTTCAGTGGAGATGACTTTACTTGCTTTAACAAACACGATTTATCACATGAGAAACCTGTTGCCGGGGTGTAGTTCTAACAGGCTCACCTTTCTCAAACTCCCAGCAAAGGGCACTTCGCAGGGGGCGGCGGTGGATGCGGGAAAGTAATCCAAGGGCATAGAAAGTGATTTACGGTGCGGGAGATTTATGGCAAACAGGTGAAATTGGTGACTTTTCGTTTACTGTCATTTCTCGGGAAGATCTCCTTCTTCGTCACCACAGAGGGGACTCTGCCTGCTGTGAGCTGGGCCTTTTCCTTGGGGGCACGTCCTGTGTTGTGTTTGTGGCACTTCGGTCACCCCCATCGGCCTTGGAGCCGAGCAGTGTCCTCCTGCTGATGCTGGCTGTCTGTTCGCAGGGTGTGAGGACTGCAGCCAGTATCACGACTCCGAATGTCCTGAGCTGGGCCCCGTGGTCATGGTCAAAGACTCCTTTGTGCTAAGCAGAGCCAGGTGAGTGAGCGCCTCTGACTGTGTTTACAGTGCTGCCTGTCTGACAGGGTTGTCTGCCTGTCAGCTGTGGGGAGGGCCAGGCTGCTGGGAGGGCCTGGCTGGGGGGAGGGGGAGGGCCTGGCTGGGGGGAGGGCCTGGCTGGGGGGAGTGGGGAGGACCAGGCTGCGGGGAGGGCCAGGCTGGGGGGAGGGGGAGGGCCAGGCTGTGGGGAGGGCCTGGCTGGGGGGAGGGGGAGGGCCAGGCTGCGGGGAGGGCCTGGCTGGGGGGAGGGGGAGGGCCAGGCTGTGGGGAGGGCCTGGCTGGGGGGAAGGGGGAGGGCCAGGCTGCGGGGAGGGCCTGGCTGGGGGGAAGGGGGAGGGCCAGGCTGCAGGGAGGGCCTGGCTGGGAGGAGGGGGGAGGGCCAGGCTGCAGGGAGGGCCTGGCTGGGGGGAGGGGGAGGGCCAGGCTGCGGGGAGGGCCTGGCGGCCTCTTGTCCGCACAAAGGGAGGAAACAGTGGAAGGAGGGGACTGACTTGTGAGAAGGACCGTCCTCAGCTCCCAGGGGCACCTGTGATTTCCGTCCCCTGTGAACTGAGTGGTGTGCTGCCAGGAGGAGCCGAGACATGTGTCACGCTTCAGAGGGAATGTCTATGTCTCGTTCATGGTTCTGAGCAGCCACACTGAGACCCAGGTGGTGCCGTGGAAGAGCTGATTGGTTGGGTTGGTTTATGGGTCGAGGAGCGACGACCAAGTTGTAGGTCTCTTCGCACGGTTTCCCCGTGGTCCGAATGTAGGCCCGCCTCCTACCATCATTGCCCACTATGGGCAAGGTGGGCTGGGGTAGAGGCAGCAGTGAGTGCAGGTAGCAAGGCAGAGCCATGGCAGCTTCTGGAAAAGCACCTGCAGGTCTAGTCAGGAGGCTCGGTGGCTCTGCCACGCTGTGCCCCTGTGGGGGCCGTGTCACTGGGGGGCGGAGCGAGGGTGAGTGACTGCCGGTTCACAGCCCAGGCCGGACACGCGGTAGCTCTTTGAACTTGGATGAGGCCTTCTCTCTGCACCTCAGTTGCGTCACCTGTAGACAGAGCAGAATAGCAGTACCTGTGAGATCACGGTGCTCATTATACACGGTCTAGTGCCGCACAGGGAGGCCCTGTCCTCATCTTCTCAGCGCTGTTTCTAGAAGCCTCCCAGCTGGTTTTCCAGCCTCTTCATTTAGTTCCTTCTCCTCACTGTGAGTTACCTTCTCAAAACAAAGAGATAATATTTTTGCCTAAAGTAGAAATTGGATCAGCGCTCCCCCAAAACCTCCAGCGGCTGCCGGTGCCCACAAAACTCCACGGGGAGCCATCCGTCCCGCAGTGGGACCCTCCGTCCTTGGGTTCCTCTGGCTCGCTGATGCTGTGGCTGGTGCTGGAGTCCCAGCCACGTGCCCTCTCCTCCAGCACCCCACCCTTGACCTTCTCCTGGTTTACTTAAAGAGCCCGCACTCTCCATGAAACCGGCGGTTCAGCCCAGCTGGAAGTCTTCTCTGGCCTTTGGAATGCGTGGCTCTTTCTTTCTCGTGGCACTTTCCACGTGGCACTTCGTCCCGAAGCTGCCGTAGTCCTCTCTCCCTGGACTCTGTGCTCCGCCTGCGCCATCCCTGTTGGCCCGTCACACCCACACCCGGAGCCCCTGTTGTTGGCTCTATCTCTGGTGGACGGGGATTGTAACCGGCCTTTAGTAAGTGGCCCTCCATTGTGTGCCCTGGGTGGTCCCTGAGAGCCAGTTTTTCGTCTCGTAACCGTCTGTGTCTGGTGTGAGTGGCTGCCCCAGCCGATGGCGCTCGGGACTTGGTTTATTTTGGTTGTTTTTTTAAAATATATTTCTATTGATTTCAGAGAGGAAGAGAGAGGGAAAGAGATAGAAACATCAATGATGAGAGAGAATCATTGATCGGCTGCCTCCTGCACACCCCACACTGGGGACTGAATCCACAACCTGGGCATTTGCCCTGACCGGGAATCGAACTGTGACCTCCTGGTTCACAGGTCAATGCTTAACCACTGAGCAACACTGGCCGGGCACAAGGACTTATTTTGTTCCATGTCTAGGTCATCCCTTCCTTCCAACTTGGAGATCAGACGACTGGAAGATGGAGCCGAAGGCGTGTTTGCTGTAACGCAGCTCGTCAAGCGAACGCAGTTCGGTCCCTTTGAGTCAAGGAGAGTCGCCAAGTGGGAGAAGGAATCTGCGTTCCCGCTGAAGGTAAAGGCTGTGCCCGCGGTGCTGGGGAGCCCGTGCTGTATGACTGTCCTCCGTGCCAGGGGGCAGCATAGCCACTGAGTGCAGTGGCTCACAGATGTCCTGGAAACGTTCTGCGTAATTTCCAACGAAAGGCTGCTTCCTGTAATTTTCAGCTTCACAAACACTAGAGAGAGTGCATTTAAAGTGTCTGCAGGAGGTGCCCCAAACGCCACCACTTCGGTTCCGACCCAGGTGGACATTGCAGGCTACAGGAGGTGACAGTTCTGCCGCTGGTCACAGTGGCGTGTCGGACTAGTTACCGTCACACTGTGCAGAGCGCATGTGCTTGCCAAGCTCTTTCTGAAGAAGGTGTCTTGTGGAGGCAGCGAAGAGACACTGGCACTAAGCTTGGCAGCTCTCAAAAGCCCGCCAGACTAGGATAGGACAGCTTTTATGTGAAAGTGAGAAAACAAAATGGAAGGAGGAAGGAGGGCTTAGCCACAGAGAGTAAGACCCGTGGGAGCTCCAGGAGGCCGGGGCCCGCGTGCTGTTCATGGCTCTGTCCCTGGGCCCCGCATGGCCACAGCCCCCAGCGAGCCTGTGAACGAGACGGGAGGAGCAGGGAGCTGGGGCAGCAGTACCCACAGAGGGGACTTTCCTCAGGGACCCTGAGCAGAGATCCACGTTGAGGGCCAGAGATGAATAGATAACCTCGGGTTTGGGGCTTGGAAGATGGAACTTACCAGGCAGATTTCAGCACAACGGGGAAAGGAAAGGAACTTGATGTTCACCAGGGAAGAGAGAAAGGAGAGAAAGCGAGGCCGTTGGCTGCTGTCCTTCAGGGGACCCGGGCCGCACGACACACAGCCTCCGCGGGCCATTGAACAAGTCCTTGGTGCCCGTCTTGGTTTCTTTCAGTGACTCACTTCTGAAGGTCTGTGTCTGGCACGAGCTGTTCTCAGTATAGGCTCAGCATTGGCACCTGTGTGCCTGGAGCGCTTTATGCCACCGGAGGGAGGGCGGGGCCCCCTGGGAGCGCACTCCACACCAGGCGGGGGTCATTGGGCACCTGGTGGCCCTTCCGCCCTCCCCTCTAGTGTCCGAGGGCTTCATCCTCAGAGGGGCCTCCAGCCCCTACAGGAAGCGCTCAGGAGAGGGGAGAGATCCCTCCTCCAGGGAGGAAGTCACAAGGCATCAGGAAATAGGGGACAAGAGCCCTATACAGTGTGGTTACTTTGAACTTCAGAATATTTAAGTTTCTCCGCCTGCTCCCTGCCTGCCTTTAACCCACAAGGAGCAGTGCTGGTTTGCAGCTGAGGGCGCACCCTGTAAAGACCGAGGGACTTGGCTAATGTCACTGAGCACCCTGTGATAGAGCCAGGAGAGCTCACGTGTCCCGATGCCCATCGGACCCGAGTACAACCTAACATCCGATTCCCAGCTGGGCCACGTGTGGGACTCAGGTGTCCCAGTTCCCAACTGAGCCATGCTTAGAACTCAGGTGACTCGACGGCACCTGGACCAGGTGTAGAATTCAGGTGTCCCAGTTCCCAACTGAGCCATGCTTAGAACTCAGGTGACTTGACGGCACCTGGACCAGGTGTAGAGCTCAGATATCCCAGTGACACCTGGACCATGAGTAGAACCCCAGAATCCCAGTTCCTAACTGGGCCGTGGGTAGAACTCAGGTGTCCCAATGACACCTGACCCAGGTGTAGAGCGCAGGTGTTCCAGTTCCCACCTGGGCCAGGAGTAGAGCTCAGGCATTCTAATTCCCAAGGTCATATTTAGAACTCAGCTGTCCCGATGATGCCTGGACAAGGGGTAGAGCTCAGACGCCTCAATGACATGTGTGCTAGGAGTAGAACCCAGCTGTTCTGATGACACCTGAACAAGGAATAGAACTCAGATGTCCTGATGCCACCGAGACCAAGAGAAGAACTCAGATGTTTTTGCCCACTCCAGGAGTAGGCCTCAAGTAGACCTCAGATGTCCCACTTCCCTGCTCGGTCATGCAGAGACCTCAGGTCTCCTGGTAACTCTTGGCCTAGGAGTACACCTCAGGTTTCCCTGTGCCACCTGGGCCACTAATAGGACTACCCAGGAACCCACCTAGACCATAGCTCAAAATCGGGTGTTCCGGTTTCCAGCTGGGCCGTGCATAGAACTCAAGTGTCCCAGTGGCGCCTGGACCAGGTGTGGAGCTCTAGTGTTCCAGTCCCCACCTGGGCCAGGCGTAGAACTTGGCTTTCCCTATGACAACTGGATCTTTCACTGTGTCTATACCGATGCCACGAAGTTTTAATCGCACTGTACGTGCGTGCCCGCACGTGGTATTTTGTGGAAGAGCCACACTCAAGGGGCCAAAGAGCCGCATGTGGCTCGCGAGCCGCAGTTTGCTGACCACGGGTCTAGACTGCTTAGCCCCCTACCCCCCCGCATCCCCTCCACACGCTGACACACAGACTGGTGAGTGACAGGATCCTCCTTGGCCCCTGGTGGGCGTGCTCCCCGCAGGTGTTCCAGAAGGACGGGCACCCCGTGTGCTTTGACACCTCCAACGAGGACGACTGCAACTGGATGATGCTGGTGCGGCCGGCGGTGGAGCCCGAGCACCAGAACCTGACGGCCTACCAGCACGACAACGACGTGTACTTCACCACCTCGAGGGACATCCCCCCGGGCACCGAGCTGCGCGTGTGGTACGCGGCCTTTTACGCCAAGAAGATGGACAAGCCCATGCTGAGGCAGGCCTGCTCCAGTGTCCACGGTATGTGGGAGCCGCGCCCTGGGGACCGGGGGCCTCTGGGCTGCACACAGGAACCCGACGTTAGTGAGGAATTGTGCTGGCGAGCTGGCTGTGCGTGGGGAGGACAAAGCGGGTGGTCTTGACCCCACTTGGCCGGGTCTGTTGTTCTGCTTGTTACATATCCCAGCTGGTAGACAGCTGGAGCCCACACCGAGCCAGACACCTGCTGGTGGGAACTCGTATCTCTTATCTCTGCTGCAGTAAGCCCTTCGCGCTCTCCACACCGTGACTCGGCCTCGTCCTCTGAGGTTGCTCATTGTCCCTGGTTTGGGCAGAGGAAACCGACGGGAGAGAGGGTGAGGAGCCTGCCCTGTCCCAGCGCAGGAGAAGGAGGAATCTGCTCCCGAGTGGGGCTGTCACCTTGCAGCTCCCCCAGAATCGGGGTGTGTGCACATATGTATGTGTGCGCAAAGAAATACCCGTGACAGTCACACATGTGATTGGCTCAAACCCGATGTTTCTATTGGAAAAGCAAATCAAAGTGCGTACCTGACAAACCAGGGTCCAGGAAAAATAAATAAATAAAAGTTGAGCGACTAAATCAATAAATAAAATGCCGTCTTCAACTTAAAATCTTTCCTGTCTTGGTGGCACAGGTCCTTACCACGGCCCCGAGAGACCCCATGACACGGCTGACACTGGGCACTGTTAACCCAAGGGCACCGAGCTCTTTCTGACCTGGTTTCCTTGTGCCCGATTCCTTGTGGCTCAGGCCGCTGACGCCGTGTGTGCCTGGGAGCAGCCCGGACGGCACGTCAGCATTTGGGTTGTTAGAGGCTGAGCTTGTCATTTGTGTCCTGGATGATGGCACACCCGTCACGACTTTCAAGGTCAAGCTCAGAGCAGAGCCTGGTGCCACTTATCGGCGTTACAGTTGTCCCGTGCCTTTTTACCTGCTGGAGAGTCTTTCTTTCATCTGGAGCTGGTTTTGGAGACAATAGATTTTAATGAAATTAGTCCTAACCATTCTCAGTCAGGAATACGAGGTGGCTGGTTCCTCCTCTACGCTTCTGAGAATGGGGGGCACTTAATAATTATGTCAGGCCCTGACCAGTTCGTCTCAGTGGATAGAGCATCGGCCTGCAGACTGAAAGGTCCCAGGTTCAATTCCAGTCAAGGGCATGTACCTTGGTTGCGGGCACATCCCCAGTAGGAGGTGTGCAGGAGGTAACTGATCGATGTTTCTCTCTCATTGATGTTTCTAACTCTCTATCCCTCTCCCTTCCTCTCTGTAAAAAAAAAAAAAAAAAAATCAATAAAATATATATTTTAAAAAATAATTATGTCAGGACAACCAGCATAAACTGGAAGGCAGGCTCACCCCAAGCAAGGCTTTGAGGTGGGAAAAGAAGTAAGCAACTTAGGTACTCTCAAATTTTAGAAATACTTTTTATGGCTTTCTTTTTTGAGACAAATGGCAAGCAAGTATTTCTGGAAATGCATTGAAAGTTATTGCCTACTCTTACCTGTTTGGTTAGTTGGATTCCTTATTTCTTTTCCTCCTGAGAGCACTCCCTGTGGAACGTTCATGGAGCCCTGGCAGCGCTGGCGACTCTCCCCTCTGTGTGCCAGGCCGCGGTAACCTAGTGACACAGCAGCTGCCCAGGCCCCTGTGCCCAGGCCCCTTTTCCCGACACCGAATGCGCGGCAGCCTCAACTCTGGGTGATGCAGTTAAGGGCCCGGGAGCTGCTGTGCGGGTGGCCCATGAGTGTCAACACAGGCTGTACAGTGACAGGCGTGGACGTGGTGGGGATGGCTCATGGCCCCGGTCCAGCCCTGATGCAGCCAGGCAGGGTTAGAGAAACCAGGCCGGGCCAGACGATCAGGGCCCCAACATTGAGGTCCCACGAGAGCACCCGTAATTTTTTTAAAGGAGCTGCAGTTCCCCTCCTCAGAGCAGGGCTTCCACGGAGGCTAGTCATCTTCTCCCTCCTTAGCCGCTGTGGTTCTGGCAGGAAGGCGGGAGGCACTGCCTGGACACAGCCGCCTGTCCCGGGGGCTGTTTAAATCCAAATTTAAATGAAATGGATGTAAGACTTCAGTTCCTCTGGGACACTCGCACGCGTGGCCGCTGTCCCGGACAGCAGGTTACAGAGTATTTCTATTGCTGCACCCAGTGGTGGACAGCGCTGGGCCGAGGCAGGGGCCACACCAGGCTCAGGGCACACTGCCTGGCTGTTTTGGGCCCCTTGTGTGAGCCGATGAGAGACTGAGGAATTTGCTGTCTGTAGGATGCATGTTTTTTCTTGAGGTTGTGTGACGGATGGGCCTGGTCCCACTAGGCTGGCTTCTTGGAGGAAGACACGTTTCTGTGACTGGAGACAGACCCTGCGTCAGGCGGCGGTGGCTCTCGGAGCACCGTGTCCTCATGTGTGAAACGAGGACATTCCGAGAACAGAATGGAGCCTGGACCATTGAAAGTGGTCCATGAGCGATCGCTGTTGTCAGTGTCACCTGTAGGACAGGTGCATTCTCGGCTGGGCTGGGCCTTCGTGCACAGATGAACTGCCGTGGGTCACCTTGTCTCTCTTTGAAGCTGCAGGCACCCCGGAGAACAGCACCCCGGTGGAGTCAGAGCCGAGCCAGTGGGTGTGTAAAGTGTGTTCTGCCGCCTTCCTGGAGCTGCAGCTCCTGAATGGTAAGGCGGGGCAGGCGGGGGGCAGGTTGTTGAGTCAGAGTTTTGAAAGCCCTCTGTTGAAGTCACTGTGATTTGGGTTCTCTTGCACACCGTCCCTTTTGGACAGCAAAACGCGTGGCCATCCGAGGCTCCCTGGCTTCAGTGAGCTGCTCGGCTCTGAAGCCTGTCTCCCAGACCTGCGTGCCTGCGGATCAAGCCCCATCCAGTGCCCCCCCAGCCCAGTGCCCTCCCAGCCCTGTGCCCCCCCAGCCCAGTGCCCTCCCAGCCCAGTGCCCCCCAGCCCAGTGCCCTCCCAGCCCAGTGCCCCCCCAGCCCAGTGCCTCCCCCAGCCCAGTGGCCCCCAGCCCAGTGCCCCCCCAGCCCAGTGCCCCCCCAGCCCAGTGCCCTCCTAGCCCAGTGCCTCCCCCAGCCCAGTGCCCCCCCAGCCCAGTGCCCCCTCAGCCCAGTGCCCCCCCAGCCCAGTGCCCCCCCAGCCCAGTGCCCTCCCAGCCCAGTGCCTCCCCCAGCCCAGTGCCCCCCCAGCCCAGTGCCCTCCCAGCCCAGTGCCCCCCCAGCCCAGTGCCCTCCCAGCCCTGTGCCCCCCCAGCCCAGTGCCTCCCCAGCCCAGTGCCTCCCCAGCCCAGTGCCCCCCCAGCCCAGTGCCCCCCCAGCCCAGTGCTTTTACACTTTGGCTTGAGCCCGTCTGCGTATCTGGCATCACGAGGTCTTCTCGCTCTTAAGCTCAGCAGTGTATCACGGGGCGGGGGACGAGGAGAAGTCTGTATTTTATCTAGTCTTTCCAAGTGTTTGCAGCCAGTGCGCTCCTTGTTACCTTGTTCTGCTGTGCGGCTGAACTGCCAAACCCTTCCTGTGACGTGTCACACAACATGGTGTTTGCTGTGTGATTTTCTTTCCTCACTCGTTCTTGCGGGCACGCACCCAGCACAGTGTCCCTCCATAGGGGACAAATGAAGGCGTAACGGCCCCTTTATACACAGCACCTGCGTCGACCCAGTGGGGCTTTCCAGCAGGAAGAATCAGTCCTGGGCCCCAGTGAGCCCCCAGGTGCCTTCTGTCATCTGCGCGCGTTAGTCCCTCCTCCCACCCGTCCTCCCTCCTCCTTCCTGCTGCCCTGCGGGCCAGCTGCTCTGTGCCGGACTCACCTTCACTGGGACTGTGGCCACTCTCGTCCAGCTTTCTTGTCCTTGGAGGCCTCTGAGGGCTTCTTCAGTTGAAAATAAAGTACAGTTCTGTTCTTTTGCTTTTATGCAGTGTTTTTAGACAGTTTATCACAAATTGAATATTTCTCTTTTCCTCTTAGAGGTTACATTTGTAAGTAATCGTGTTAGGTATTTATTGTGGAAAAATTAGAAAATGCAAATAAGCTTACAGACAAAAATCACAGTTGCCTGACTGTTGCCATCGAGAGAGAGCTCGTGGGTGTGGCCTCCCACAGTCCTCTTCGCACGTCGTGTGGCGCAGGCTTTATCTGTACAGAACGGCCCTGCCTTTATCACCTGACTGACTGAAATAGTCGTCTGTTTGGTGCGTGGGATGCTTTCTTCTCAAAAGCAGTGGGAACACAGTTTACCTCTGCAGAGGGCGCACTATTAGCAAATAAAACTGAAAACAAACAAGCAGTGCGGGAGGGAGCGGACACTGACCGGCTCCCCCGCGCCCCGTGCACCTGCCTCCCTCTCCTGCAGAGCATCTGTTGGGCCACTTGGAACAAACCAAAAGCCTCCCCCCGGCCGGCCAGCAGGAGGGGGCTCCAGAGAAGGAACCTGACGGGTCTCAGGGGGAGCCTCCCGCAGTCCCCAAGAGCATCAGTGCCGCCAAAGAGCAGAAGAAAAAGCCTCGAAGGGGGAGAAAACCCAAAGCCTCGAAACCAGAGCAGAAACCAGAACAGCCCTTGGTCGTCATTGAAGACAAGGAGCCCGCAGGTGAGGGCTGGCCCTGGGGGCGGAGCCAGCAGGTGAGGGCTGGCCCTGGGGGCGGAGCCAGCAGGTGAGGGCTGGCCCTGGGGGCGGAGCCAGCAGGTGAGGGCTGGCCCTGGGGGCGGAGCCAGCAGGTGAGGGCTGGCCCTGGGGGCGGAGCCAGCAGGTGGGGCTGGCCCTGGGGGCGGAGCCAGCAGGTGAGGGCTGGCCCTGGGGGCGGAGCCAGCAGGTGAGGGCTGGCCCTGGGGGCGGAGCCAGCAAGGTGTGCTCTGTGGACCTGACAGGGCCTGAGGGGTTAGACTTCCTGCACAGTTTCCCTTCCCTAAACAGGCCAGGCCAGTGAAGGGGCCGGAGCCTCTTCAGTGATGGGCTCACTAGTGGTCAGTTGCATTAGGAAGGCACATGGGAGGCAAGTGGGAGGACCGGTGCTAATTTTTGTGTGTGACTTTCCCGTATTTCATTTGTGCAGAGGTTCAGACCTGGGTCCCTGTTACTGTGGCTATGTCGTGTTTGACTCTTGTGCTTGCCATTATCTGCTTTTGAACATACTCACGGTGGCTTGTCTAATAACAAAATTAATATTTCTAAGTCTCTGTCACCATAATTTAATACATTTTAAGATCCCAATATATATGAAAATGTTGTGGTTTGGGTTGGTATTCTGAGGGATTGAAATAGTGCTAGGACTGCCATGGTTTTAATAAAGCATCACAATTTATAACCTAGTTTTGAGTTATGAATATCATTTTGATTTTCTATATATACAGATAAATATGTAGGTTCTAAAATATTGCTAGTTTTCCTTTCTTTCCTTGTTAACTGTGTAAACCTGTCCCGGCTGTGTCCCCTGGGTGTGCCGTCTTGGCTGGCTGTGTTCTGCCCCTGCCCGGCTGTGACGTGGCTGTCCCGTTCTTTCTGCACAGAGCAAGTGGCCGAGATCATCACCGAGGTGCCACCGGACGAGCCCGTGCCTGCGGCGCCGGACGAGCACATCATGGAGCTGGTCTTGGGGAAGCTGGCCACCACCACCACCAGCGAGGCTCCTTCAGTGCCAAAGTGAGTCCTGCCACAGTGCTCGGGGCAGGCAGTGAGGGGGCAGCAACTTCGTGGGGGGCCGGGGGAGGGCCTGACGAGTGGGGGTTTGCTTCTCATGGTGGAAGCGGATGAGTGTGTTTCTGAACAAGCAGCAGGAACACTCTGGACCCAGGAGCTTAATGGGGCGTCCACTGTGAAAACAGTTTGAAAAACATTTTTATTGTGGTAAAAATAGACCTAACATGAAATTTACCATCATCATAATTTTTAAGAGTACAGGTCAGTGGTTTTAAATACATTCACATACATTCACCATCATCCATCTCCATAACTTCTTTATCTTCCTTGAACTGAAACTCCATATTATTTTTTTTAATATATTTTATTGATTTTTTACAGAGAGGAAGGGAGAGGGTAGAGCGTTAGAAACATTGATGAGAGAGAAACATCGATCAGCTGCCTCCTGCACACCCCCCCCACCGGGGATGTGCCCACAACCAAGGTACATGCCCTTGACCGGAATCGAACCCGGGACCCCTGAGTCCGCAGGCCGATGCTCTATCCACTGAGCCAAACTGGTCAGGGCTCCATATTATTTAATAATTATTCCTTACCCCATCCCCAGCCCCGTCTGTGAATCTGAACAGCCTAGGTGCCCATGTAAGGGGGATCACACAGGAGCCCTTCTGTGACGGGCTTGCTCCACTCGGCATGCTGCTCTCCAGGCCCATCCAAGTGCAGCCTAGGTCAGAATGTCCTCCCTCTCAGGCTGCGTGGCAGTCGCTGTGGGGGGGCCACGTTGGCTTGTCCATTCCTGCTTCCGTGGCACTTGGGCTGCCCCCCTCCTGCCTGTTATGAATATTGCTGCTGTGATAAAGCAGTTTTGTATTGGAATTTCTATAAATTGCTTTCCTTACTTTGTGTTTTCCTTTTTCTTTCAGTGAACAAGGAAAATGTTTGCATTTTGTTGTCATTCTTGGGAAATTATTGTCCTGAAGCTGAATAAGCTGATGGCAATTTTTTCTCCACTGGCTCTTTTTGGGGTTCCCCTTTCTATTGTCAAAGTGCACCTGGTCCTTCGTAGCCTGGGAACCTGTGGAAATACTGAAACCAAAGGCATGTCAGAAATGCTGTTACCTGTTTATTTATTTACAGTCTGTCTGAGTGCCCGGAGAGTTTCCATGGAAACAGTCAGAAACACACAAGCAGATGAGATTTTAAAAACCGGGTTCAGGGGGAACATAAAGCCGAGAGGCCGTGCCCGTGAGGAGAGCTCAGGGACCTGGCTGCTCTAGGTGAAGCGCGCATTGCGTGTGACGCTCCCGGTGGCCAGAGGTCACCGCAGTGAGACGTGCGGCTGGTCCGCTCACGGTGCCTCTCCTCTGGGTGCCCCTGGCCCTGGCCGATGCCGAGCTTGGCCCCTTTCTCCCATCGAGCAGGGACGATTCGGCAAGACCCTTTCCAAGATGACTGTAACCTTGACCTCAGTCTCCCACCTGTCGTCCCGTTCCCTGTCCACCTGGCAGGTTCCCGCATCATCAGAGCGGCAGCATCACCCTCAAGAGGAGTCTGATTCTCTCCACCCGGCACGGCATCCGGCGGAAGCTGGTCCGGCAGCTGGGGGAGCACCGGCGGGTGTACCAGTGCGGCACCTGCAGCAAGGTCTTCCAGAACAGCAGCAACCTGAGCCGGCACGTGCGCTCGCACGGTGAGTCCCAGCCTCTCTGTGGGCGGCGTGGCCCAGGGGCTGCCCGCCCGCGTGGAGGGCCAGGGCGCCCATGTCTCCGGCCGCGCTGCAGTCATGGACCGGCTTGTTCTTGTTGGCTCCGTAGGCGATAAGCTGTTCAAGTGTGAGGAGTGTGCGAAGCTGTTCAGCCGAAAGGAGAGTCTAAAGCAGCATGTCTCCTACAAGCACAGCAGGAACGAGGTGGGTGCAGCCACGGCTGTCCTCCCAGCTACGGGAGAAGCAGGCCACGGACCAAACAGTCCGAGGGGGAGAGAAGTTAGAGTCAGGGGAGAGGAGGGAACCACAGCGGCCGAGCCCGGCGGTTCTGGACACATCCAGGTGGCCTGGCCTGGCCTGGCGGGAGCAGGTGGCCCTGGGGGCTGTGCAGGTGCCTGAGTATGGGGTGCTCTTTCTAGGGCAATGGGGCGGGAAGAGTGAAAATTCTTCATGTTCCTAAGCTGAGGAGGAGAGTAGTAGAGAAACGTCGGAAACCACACACACGGAAGTTGCTAGAATGTTTCCTCAGGGAGCCCGTTCTGCTTGAGCCTCCCCTGGGCTCCTCCTCTCACTGACGCGCTGCCCTCTGCCCAGGTGGACAGCGAGTACAGGTACCGGTGTGGCACCTGTGAGAAGACCTTCCGCATCGAGAGCGCGCTGGAATTTCACAACTGCAGGACAGGTGAGCGGGCCGGCCAGCGTCGAGTCCCAGGGGACGGGGTGGGAGCTGGGGAACGCCAGAGGGGGTAAAGGTAGGGTTAACAACCCCACCACGCATTTTGCTTCCGAGCAGTCATTAGCTGGTCTAGAGACAGACGGAGACATCCCGGGTCTAAAGGAACTTATGTTCCCACTTCCTGTTACACATGCCCCCCATTTGAGTTCCCACACATGCCATCCTCGCCGAGTGTGGCGGGCAGCGGTGTTGGGTTTGCGCTAGGACCATGTGAGAAAGAGTGGTGGGTGGTGCCTGCAGGGGTGTGTTTCTCACTTGTCGGAAGGGGCTTCCGGAACCATTAGCCTCCCTTCTACATGGAGCTGCCAGTGTCCAGACCATGTTGTTCTGAGTCCACTTCTGCCACCAATCTTCAAAAGTGACAGGAACCTCATTTCCTCATGCTGCCACGAGCCCGTGCCGAGGGGGCCTCCCTGGGCCTGGGCAAGCATGCTGGGCACTGTGTGTGGGCAAGCTGGCAGCTGGCAAGCACGCGTGCTACAGACATCCTCGTGGACAGCAGGAGGCAGTGGCTTAGGAGCCCAGCCCCTGGAGAAAGCCCCGCCCTGTCCCCACTGCTCCTCCTGTGCACCGGGGTGACTTGCGTTCTCCCTCTCTCCAGGAACCCTAGCTCACCCGGGAGAGGGGGGGACCAGTGGCAGTCGGCTTAGCGACCTACCAGGTTAGCCTTTGATACCGACCCTTTCCTGTTGGCCCTCTGTGTGCGTCACTGTATCTCTGTGGGGGTCTTGGTCAGGTGGGTCTCCGGGGAGCCTTAACCGGCTTAGCTAAGTCTCCACAGTTCCTCCCTCTGCAGCCAGCGCCTGCCCGGAAGCGCCCGCTGTAACCCTTGCTTGGCTCGTGTGTTTGTTTGTTTATCGTGTTGGAGAGTCCTGTCTGGAAGCTGGCATGTCTTGCCCATGGCACCTTGCTCCCATGGCGGGACTGTTCCGAGTGGCAGACGAGCCCTGTTTCACCTGAGCTCCAGCTGCTCCGCAGCATCTGAGTCTGTGGCTTTAAGTGGCCTTGGCAGCTTTCGGACGAACTTCCAGTGTGCCGCACACCTGCACCCTGAGCCCTGCACCCAGGTGCTCCCCAGATCTGGGGCAGTCCCCCAGCCGTCTCCATGCTGCACCAGCTGCAGCCGGCCTTAGCCTGGGCTGTTCTGAGCCGGAAGACGCCCGTGTGGCCACTGGCAGGTCTGCGTGCCTGCAGGAGTGGGGCAGGCTGTCAGGGTGTCAGGAGCATGAGTGGCACCTGGGAAGTGTTTGGTGAGTGACTCAGGGTCCAGGAAGAGGAGGTGTCCTCTGTAGCTGTCTCTCTGGACACAGGTGAAGCAGAAAGTAACAGAAGTCAGAGCCCCGGGTGCTACTCGTGGGTCAAAGTTCTGACAAAGCAGACCTTTCCTTTGTCACGTGGAAGTAACAGCAGCAGCTGAAATGCACCTTCTCTTTTCCCAAGATGCTCTTTCAAAGGGTAGAAGTTTTGGATGGAAAATAAAGGATAAGCCTGGATAAGTGAGCTCATTTGCAAAATGCCTTTAGCAAAGGCTAACCAAAGCCTGGATAAGTGAGCTCATTTGCAAAATGCAGTATTTGCATACTGTTACGCTTTTTTATGTGTTCACATAAGAAAATGTGTCTTCCATAAACCATTAAGCCAAGAATTTGTCCAGTGTGAGGGAGAAGCTTTGAAAAGTGCAGTCTGCTGGGTTTTTCTCATCCTTCCACTCAGCAGGGCCGGCCCTGGGTGTGGCAGGTGTTGGTGTAACTGCCCTTGACCATCAGACTGCACTAGTGAATAGCAAAGGTTCACGTCCAGGCTCCCATGCAGGTCGGCTCCACTGGAAATCTGCTGTCTTATTTCTGGGTGACCCTGCACCCACCCCCTCACCAGAACCCAACTGATAGGCATCTGTTTTCAGTCGCTGCATTTTATTAAAACATTAGAGGCCTGGTGCACAAATTCTTGCACAGGTGCGGTCCCTCCACCTGGCTGGTGATCGGGGCCGCGGGAGGTTGGCTGGCCGGCCAGGGGGAGGGACTGCGGGAGGTTGGCCGGCTGAGGGAGCACACTGACCACCAGGGGGCAGCTCCTGCATTGAGCATCTGCCCCCTGGTGGTCACTGTGCATCATAGCAACCGGTCGACCTATTGTTTGGTCATTCGGTTGCTTAGGCTTTTATATATATAGATAAATGTAGACCTCAAGGGCACCAGGGTTATTGGTGGGAGAAAGTTATTGTTGGAGCCAGATGCCCATCTGCATTCCTAAACTGGTGACTGGATGCCACACAGGAAACGCACCCTGAGTGAGGGACGTCCCGAAAGCCCTGCCCACTCCTACCTGGGCAGGGCAGCCACCCTGAGTGAGGGACGTCCCGACAGCCCTGCTCACTCCCTCTACCCGAGCAGAGGCCACAAATGAGTCAGGAATAGTTACAGGTGATTTCTCACCATATGCTGGAGGGACTCCTGAGAGAAAGCTAAAGCCATGGGCACACTGTACCTTCCATGCTAGTAGGGTGCCTGCCCATGAGGGCAGCTCACCTGTGCTGTTAGCACCTGCCCAGGAGGGCGGCTCACCTATGCTATTAGCACCTGCCCAGGAGGGAGGCTCACCTGGGTGGTTTTGCAAGCCTGGGGTGGGTGGGGGTCTCTGTGATCTGATGGGACAGCTCAGTAATGGTGTGGCCTCCACAAAGCAGATGCAGATGCCCTTGGTCTGGTGGTCCCATCCCTAAGAAGCCATACTCAGGGGATTCAGCAGAGGCCCCCGGCGACACGAGCCCAGCATCCACGCCCTGGCCACACTGAGGAGGGGAGGGGAGGGGCCCCGGCTGCGCGGCGGGAGGGGAGGGGCCTTGGGCCGGAGGCCGTGGCGAGGGACGCTGGCATCGTTGCAGGCTGGGCTGAGGGGGCCCCCCCCGTCCCCATGCATGAATTTCGTGCACTGGGCCTCTAGTAAAAAATAATGCAGTAAATTATGGTAAAGGAACCAGGTGGACTATTACATAGCCACTGAAATAAGCATACTAAGCACACATACTGCATACATGTGTGTGTACAGGGGATCATGTAGATGCACCTGGGCTGCACATTGGGGTCACCTAACCCCCCGCCTGGACATTTTGGTTGTCACACTGGCTGTGTGTGTGGGGGTGGGAGGGTGGTGCTGCAGGACATCCACAGCACCAGGTCGGCCCCCACAGAGGACGATGTGGCCCACGTGTCGCCAGGGCCCAGTCTGAGACCCTGGGTGTGTGTGGGGGGGGTGGGGGGGGCAGGGGGTACTTAAACGCACCATGGGCTCCGTGTACAGCACAGTGAGAACCATCAGATTCACGGTAGGAAACAGCAGGGCTATGTGCAGCCTCAGGGATCTGTGTGTTTGGCAAACGTTTGCTGACTCCAGGAGCAGGTCAGCGGGCTGGGGCCCAGGCCCAGAAACAAGGATGACACGGTGTGTCCTGAGGCCTCCCTCTGAAGGGGGATGCCCCTGTGACCCACTCTGTCATGCCCACCTGCAGGGGGACCCGGCGTGGGCTGGTACTCCAGGAGGTCTGTGGGCAGTGAGGGCTGCCTTCAGGGCTTGTGCGGAGGACAGACCCCTGGATGGGGGTGGGGTGAGGGGCAGAGCACAGAACAACACAGAGAGGGTCAGGGCCTGTGCTGGGCATGAGGCCCTGGGATCCCTGAGCCAAGGGGGGAGTCCAGGTGGTCCAGGAAAGACAGACAGCTGGAGGGGTCCTAGCGCCATGCAGGTGCCCCACGCCCACGGTCTGTGCTCACCCAGGGCAGGCCTTCAGGGGACGTCCTGGCACCTGGAGGGAGAGCAGTGGCACAGAGGGAGCAGGTGGGGACTGTCTAGTTCCCGGTGGAGCACTGGGGTTCCTTGGGCGGAATCGTTGAATGCCGTGGGGGAGAGGAGGTGGCGGAGGATGTGGGCTGGGCTGGTGGCAAGAAGAGGCGAGCTAAATCTTGGGAACAAGCCCTTCAGCCTGTGCTTGGACAGTAGCACAGGTGACCGGCTTCCTGGCCTAGTGGGCCTCACGCATCTCCACCCTTCACCTGCGCCCCTTGCCATTCCCACGGCCTCACCATGGAGCCTGCATCCGATGCTGTTGACCTAAAAGCTGCTGTGTCTGCTTGCTTTCTGGACAGATGACAAGACGTTCCAATGTGAGATGTGTTTCAGATTCTTCTCCACCAACAGCAACCTCTCCAAGCACAAGAAGAAGCACGGGGACAAGAAGTTTGCTTGTGAAGTCTGCAGCAAGATGTTCTACCGCAAGGACGTCATGCTGGACCACCAGCGGAGGCACCTGGAGGGTGAGCGCCCTGGGCAGGGCAGGCCTGAGGGAGGGGGAGGAGTGGGCCATGTTGTCACAAGCCCTGCCACCACCCGATGGAGTCATCGAGCTATGGGGATTCAGCCCATGCAAAGGGAGGGATCCATAGTGTCAGGTGGGAACTACAGGGACAGTTGGGAATGTCCTAAGTATTCAGGAGGGAAAGAGTTAAGGAAACCAGGCTCTCTGTAGGATTGAATGGTAGGCAGTCATTAAAAGCTTTTCAGAGTTTTTGAGTATTATGGCAAAATGCTACCCATGATAGAGAGCAGGAAGAAAACTGTGAAACTGACGCGGTGAGCTCTCCGCCGTGTGTGTGGAGCATGTTCCAGGCGGAGGCGTTGGGGAGCCCCTGACTGGTTTTCCCTGGCTCCTCCTCTGTGTGCCCCAAGAGGCCCCCAATGCCTGAAAGCCATAAGGATTTTGTTATCACCTGACCTTGCACCCTGGCCCTAATTCAACTGGTTTAATTTGAAGGATGAGTATTCGCCTCTTTTTAATAAAAAGCCTGCCTGCTTAGAGCCGTCTCCAGGAAGCCTGCCTTTTCCCTGAGCCTTCCCATCGGGCACAGACACCTCTAGGTCGTCCGTTATAATCTTCCACGCCGTAAAGTGGGAAACACTCGCTGCCCTCGTATTTCCAGATGTTTCAGATGCAAGAACCCTGTCACCGGGCCCGTGGGTGCTGCAGTCTCCTCTCCCCCGGGAGCCCGTAGGAGCAGCGGTTAGCGCTGATGCTCACATCATGCCCAGGGACGCCTGCTCACTCATATGTCTCCCCACGGTGGGCAGCCGTCTCCGTCCTCTGAAATGACACTGGGCTGCAGCAGAGCTGGCTAATATCACGTATTTACCCTCTCGCTTGGGCGGTGGGCCTTTCAGGCGTCAGGCGAGTGAAGAGGGAAGACCTGGAGACCAGCGGGGAAAGCCTGGTCCGCTACAAGAAGGAGCCTTCGGGATGCCCCGTGTGTGGCAAGGTAACGCCGCGCTGCCCCGCAGTCTAACTCACAGCTCACCACCTCCCGCGGTGACGAGTCGGAGCTCTGCCCACTGCAGGTCCGGGGAAGGTCCGGGGACATGGACACTCGGGGTGTCCTAAGCTGCAGTGTCCGCTCACTCGTGGCCTTGTCATTGTGATCTTTCGCTGTCGAGCCGGGTCTCCGGGGAGGGAGCTGAGGATGAGCGTTTGCTCTGTCAGAGCCTTTTTCCTCGTTGGCCACCATCTCCACCTGCGTGCGCCCATGCTCACGCTCTCTCTCTCTCCTCAACGTCCCTGCGACCTGTCCTCTGGCAGAGATGGGACCCGCTCACCGGGGAAGTGGGAGGTCCTGGGGCTTAATTCTGCCTGCTGGTGCTGGTCTCCCCTGTGGCATCTCTGAGTGACAGCACCCACAACCGCGTGGCCACGGAGGGTCCTGGCATGTTCCCCGAGTAAGCGAAGCGTGATGTCAGCCTTATTAGCAGATCCGTTCAGGGAGCGTCAGGCGACTCCTTAGCTTGACCTTAAATGTCCAGCAGTGCACTGCCCATCAGAGTCCCGGGGTGCTGTCAGCCCGTGCGGGGGCCACACAGGTGGCCACAGAAGTAGGGTGTTCTTCGTGAATGAGCTCCAGGCCTTGGCCCTCCTCAGACTCGCCTCCCAGGACGAGATTGTGCAGAGGCCACTGTGTGCCCAGGCTAGAGAGCGTGTCCCTCTCGGATGCAGAGCACTTGCTGCGGGGCCCAGGGGGACTCCCAAGGGGGCTCCTCGCCCCCACAAGCTGGGGTTGTCGGGGACAGAACCACCAGCCTGGGCTTGGGTGGTTGCTGGGTCTCAGCCACACGCAGTTCTGTGAGCCGCTGCCAGGCCCGGACAGTGGGGAGCAATGGCCACAGGGACAGCCAGTGGCAGCACTGCCAGCGTTGTTGCCATTGCAAGAGGAAACGGAAACTGTGGTTACGGTTTACGCGAAGCTGGTGTTGGGACCGGCGCCTCCATGTCCGCCTCTTCGCCCGCAGGTCTTCTCCTGCAGGAGCAACATGAACAAGCACCTGCTGACCCACGGCGACAAGAAGTACACCTGCGAGATCTGCGGCCGCAAGTTCTTCCGTGTGGACGTGCTCAGGGACCACATCCACGTCCACTTCAAGGTGCCCGCCGCGCGCGCTGTCCCGGTAGCTCACTCGGGGCGTGGGGGCCTCGGGCCAGCGTTCTGACCACTGGTCCGCTTGGCCGCACGCCTCTTGTCAGATGCGGCCTCATGACCGTTTGCTGGTCTCGGGCAGCCCCGCTGCAGGGCTCCCAGTCCGGTGCCTCCCGCGGGTGGATGGGGTGCTGGGGTTTGCTCCCCTTCTCCCTGCCTCGAGGAGAGTGAGGAGTTGGCCGGAGCTGGGGAGGCAGCGAGGACTCGGGGCATCGGGGCAGGAGACGTGCAGATCCGGGGAAAACAAAGGGATGGCAGGTGCTGAGGCCCCAATGAAGCTGCGCTCACCCTCGTCACCTCCCTGCCTGCGCTCAGTGACGGGCAGCTCCCAGCTCCGGTGCAGGCTGGGCTTTCCCTGGGCAGATGCTGGGGAAAGTGGGGGCGAGGCACGAGTGTGGGAGGCTCCCGGTGCAGGTGCAGAGCCATGTGGACCAAGCTGGGGAGGAAGGAAGGGCCCCAGGAGGGCGAAGAGCCTCGGGGAAAAGGGCTTGGACCTCCCGGGACCCTGCCATGTCCCAGCCGGGACCTGCGGGTACCAGTTCTGCCACCCCTCTGAGCCTCCACGTTTCTCTCTGTAAACGGGGCCCCGAGCCCTGCCATGGAGAGTGGGTTTCCATGAGCATTAAATTAGACCCGACAGGTGACGGGCCCGCCGGGTCTGAGTGCCCATGCCTGGGGTCTGTAAGCAGGTGCTAGTCCTCCTCGGGCAGTTCTCCTCTGAAAGAGGGGTGCCCTTCTTTGCTGACGGAAATAGGGGTTCAGTTTGAGTTGATGTGAGAGCCAACAGTAGAAGAAACGGAACAGCGGCCCTTGTTGAAACCTCGTGCTTCAGCCGAGGGCGCGGAGGGAGGGGGGCGAGCTCTCCAAAGGAGCCCATCCTCTCAGGGTTCCAAGTTTGCTCACTGATGAAACGTGGCCCCCAGCGCCATGCGACGGCAGCCTCTGCCTGAGGATGGGCAGTGGCAGGGAAAGGGCAGCGCCCTCTGCGGCCGCTGGAAGGAGCTGCTAGACAGGGAGCCGGCCACCCAGCGTGGCGAGCCCTCCTCCCTCCCAGTGGTGGCTGCTGGCTCCTGCCATGCTGCTCCCTCAGCTCCGGGCTCGGCCCCCCGGGCTGCTCATGCCCAGTGTTTCTGCCTGCGAGTGACTGCTGGAGTGATCCTTGCAGTCTTTTGCAGAAAAGTAAATGGAAGTTCAGAAACTTCGGGGCAAGCCCGGTCACGTCCACAGGAGGAGGCCTTAGAGACCACTGACCCCACCCCACTGACAGAAGCCACCATCAAGGCCGGGACGTTAGGTGTTCCCAGGGTCAGGCAGCACCAGGCTCACACCAGGCCCGCGGGAGGGAGCCTGCTGCTCCCTGCCCACCCCTCGGGGCCGGTGCTGTGCATTGCAGAATTATCTGAGTGTGAGCAGGGCCTGGTGGGTTTCCCGTCAGGAGTGGGGTGTGCAGGTGACCCGAGGGAGGGTGTCTGCAGGGGGCCCACACAGGACGCAGTAGGCGGGAGCTCCTAGGACGTCCTACGTCGCAGAGGCGCTGCCTCTCCGCGTGGGTGAGCCCCCTGCTGCTGTGGATAAGGAGCCGGTTAACGCTTTGCCACGCGGGTTAGAAGTTGGGCTCCGGCTCTTCCAGGACATCGCTCTGATGGATGACCACCAAAGGGAAGAGTTCATTGGCAAGATCGGGATCTCCTCCGAGGAGAACGATGACAATTCTGACGAGAGCGCGGACTCGGAGCCTCACAAGTACAGCTGCAAGAGGTGCCAGGTAACCTGCCGCTCAGAGCGTCGGGGAGGGGGCTCGGAACAGGCTGCGGACCGACGGGCCGGGCTCGGTGAGCGGAGTCCCAGGCGGTGGCCCACTTGCAGACGCAGCTGTCCTGCTGGCTGCCCCAGGTCACTTGGGTTCTCGGGGAGGATGCCTGGTCTCACTGTGTCACACGGACCATCCTCGCAGAACCAGTCTCCCGACTGGCCGGCGTACGGCTGTGTGGCTCATCCGGTGGGATCTGGCTCCCTGGAGGTCGGCCGCATGAGGGGCCTCCCTCCCCCCCTCGGACCAGTGGCTCTTCACCACAGCCTGCCCCGTGCGTGGAAGGGGGGCGTGCTCAGAGGGGGTGGTTCTGTCCTCAAAGGGCCCAGGCTCAGCAGCGTGCTGTGTGAAGGCGGTCCCTGCACTGGGTCCCCTGCCTGGGAAAGCACAGTTCACTCCTGTCGAGTGCAGGTGCCATGTTCTCTGCGAGCACCAGCCCGTGTGCCCATCCTGGCACCTGCCGTGCGCCTGTCAGGACCCTTGGGTGTGAGTGCGGTCAGGGAGGTCAGTGGGTGGAGAGGAGGCAGTCAGGCTTGAAGAGGAGTCCGGAGGCCCGGGAGGAGCTGGGGTCCACTCCTCACATCTCCCCGCTGCACAGTTTTGCCGGCGCTGCCCCTGCCCTAGGAGTGCCCTCCTCACCTGCCAGGGTGACGGGCTCTCACCAGCGTCCCTGCCCCGTGGTGCGCGGCAGTGCATGCTGAGCTGCAGCGCCGAGCTGGGCGAGTGGTGAGCGTGTACCTGTCCGCAGCTCACCTTCGGCCGTGGGAAGGAGTACCTGAAGCACATCATGGAGGTGCACAAGGAGAAGGGCTACGGCTGCAGCACCTGCAACCGGCGCTTCGCCCTGAAGGCCACCTACCACGCCCACATGGTCATCCACCGTGAGAACCTGCCCGACCCCAACGTGCAGAAGTGAGGCTCCCGGGGCTGCGGGCTCAGCGCTGGGTGGTGCCTGAGGGAGGTGCCCGAGGGAGGTGCAGAGAAGCGATGCTTGAAGGGGCAAGTCCCTCTGCTCTGTGAGCCCCACTGGGTCCTGGGGAAGTACCTGTCCTCCACCCGTCCTGCCTCGGCCCCATCCCCTGCCAGGACTCAGCATGAGCAGCGCATTACAGGCCTGGGGAGCCACCGGGAGCCCTTTCCCTAGTGATCAGGGTCCCTGAAGGCCAGCTCCTGTCGGGCTGCAGCCGAACCAGTGCTCTGAGCCTGAGCGAGGGTGGATGGTTGTGGCTGCAGTGGCCAGCTCGGTCGCCCAAACAGAGTGCACAGGCCGGAGGTCTGAGATGAAGGTGTTGCAGGGCTGCCTCCCTCCGACTGTGAGAGCATCTGCCCCAGGCCCCTCTCCTTGGCGTACAGATGGCCTCATCTCCCCGTGTCTGCATGGTCGTCCTGCTACCCGGGCCTCTGTGCCCACACGTCCCCTTTTCATAAGGACACCAGTCATACTGGCTCAGGGCCCATCCAGAGACCTTGTTCCAACTTCATCAATTGTTAAGCCCTGATCTCCAATACAGCCACGTTCTGGGGAACTGGGATCAGGGCTTAAGCGTGGATTTGAACTGGGGGCACATTAAGTTCACGACAGCCTACAGTCCGTCTTCTGTCATCTCCATTACATCTTTTGGTCTCATCTCTGGGCCTCTCGGTGCCTAGGAAAGCTGTGCCCGCTGCAGGGTCCCCCCATGTGGGGCTGCCCTGAGGCTTCTGTCTGGTTGCAGGTACATCCACCCCTGTGAGATCTGCGGCCGGATCTTCAACAGCATCGGGAACCTGGAGCGGCATAAACTCATCCACACGGGTAGGTGTTCCCGTCAGGCACAGGGCCCCGGGCTGACGGGGGTGGACCGCCTTGTCTGTGGGCTTCGTGCGCAGAGCAGTTGCACATCGTCCCCCTCAGTGCATTCCTCGGTCCCGCTTCTTGTGTCCTGGCCACGGCGTCCGCTCCCAGCACGTCCCTGCCCCATCACCCACTCCAGGTCCTCGGAGCCTCCTGCCAACCAGTCCAGAGGAAGGCCCTGAGGCGGTGGAGGGAGGGGTGGCCCGTGCTTCCGGCTGTGGGGAGGCCGCCTTCCTCCCAGTTACTGCCTTGCCGCCTTACCCACGCCTGCGGGTCTTCCAGGAGTGACATGGGGGTGCCTTGTTGGTAGGTGTGAAGAGCCACGCCTGCGAGCAGTGTGGAAAGTCCTTCGCCAGGAAGGACATGCTGAAGGAGCACATGCGCGTGCACGACAACATCCGGGAGTACCTGTGTGCCGAGTGCGGGAAAGGTACGGTCCCGGGCGCGCCCACGTGGCGCTGGAACCAGCCTTCAGGGGTGCAGCCTTCCCGTCCCCCTTTCCGCAGTCCCTGACACCTGTGCCTGCCCAAGGGTTGGGGTGTGGGCACTGGAGGGGGGTCGGGCACAGGCGCTGGGGGATCCAGGGCATGCGGAGACGGGTCCAGGGCACGGTCGCTGTAGGGGGGGCCCAGGGTGCGGCCCGGTGGCGCGGGGCGAGGCGGGCGCCCACCTGCCGCTGTCCGCAGGCATGAAGACCAAGCACGCGCTGCGCCACCACATGAAGCTGCACAAGGGCATCAAGGAGTACGAGTGCAAGGAGTGCCACCGCAAGTTCGCGCAGAAGGTCAACATGCTCAAGCACTACAAGCGGCACGTCGGTGAGTCCTGGCGGCGCCGGCGTGCGGGCAGCCGCCGGGCCTGCTGCCGAAACGGCAGGAAGCGCCTCTGGCGGCTTCTCACTGTCCTTGGCTCCCCGCGGGCCGGGGTCCGAGCGAGCTCTGCTCTGGGAGGTGCGGGGCAGCAGCGGGCATCCAGGAAGCGTCCCATCCCGTCCCGTCCCCCAGGCGCCCTGGTTCGTGTCACTGCGCATGTGCACAGGAGTCCAGGCGCTGCCAGACTCGCCCGCGTGAGTTTGGTGACACTTGCCAGTTCTGCAGGGCCCTTGCCCTGCTCAGCTGTTCCCCGTGGGAGTGTGTGCCTAGGAAGGGAGCAGGCAGGGTCCCAGAGGTTGTACAGCTGACCTCAGATCCTGGGACGTCTTAAGTGTCCGTCGGCAGGGCAATGGCTAAGCCGTGCAGCCATTAAAAAGAATGCAGCTGTCAGAAGCGATGAGATTCTCGGTAGTTTACATAGAGCTCATGAAGGAAAAGCAGCCTCTGCAACATCACATGTGAGCCCCTGTTTGTAAACATGGACCTGTGGGTCGACGTGGGTGTGTGAGGGGAGCTCAGGTGGACACCAGAACAGAAGGGAGCTGGCCCCTGGTGATGGGATTTGCCTGAGCCGGACATTCCTGGCAGGAGCCTCTCTACCGCGTTCCCTGTCCTCACTACGATGGCCTTGGCTCCTGCCACTGCCTGGCCCAGCTTCCCTGTGTGCCTCAGCTGTCTGTCCAGGCCACCACGCAGGTCGGCTTGGGTCCCCACGCACTGGGCTTGCACAGTGTGCTGCCCTTGTCTGCCTGGGAAGCGCGCCCCTTACCTGCCTCACCTTCTCCGGGAAGCTTTCTTGCTCCCCCAGGACTGGGTCCTGACCCGCCTCTAGTGCTGCAAACTGGACCGTTCCACAGTCCTGCTCTGCTGTGCCAGCCTCCGCGCTCCACCTGCTGCAGCACCCACTGCCCCTTCGGCCTCCTCCAGCCACGATGAACCCAGGCCCTGTGCCTCCTGGGGGCTCTGTATGTGCTCACAGCACCAGTTGGTGGGCCCTTCACTCACTTGTCTTGCTCCATTTTGGAGGAACCTTTGTCTAAGAGGCTTTCTCGGGTCCACATTCTTGCCAGTTTGGGGAGTACATCTGTCTTGCTCACCCGATGCCTGCTCCCCAGGCAAGCAGGATGATCGCCCCCGACTGATGGCCTGTGGGGGCACTGGGGTAACGTAACCACCTGTTCCATAAGCATGGCGTCTGCCTTCCCTTGTCATGAGCTAATGCAGAATAAAGCTCATTGAGTCGGATTCTGCTCATTGGGAATGCCTGGCAGTCCCGTGGGCCCCGGGCTGAAACCGACATGCCAGCCTTCCTGAGGAAGCACCTTGCGAAGCCACCTGCAGAGGGCAGAGTTTCCAAGCCTCAGCTCAGTGCCCGTCTCCTGGCAACCTCCCGTCCCGCAGCCTCTCCAAGTGCCGACCTGTGTCAGGGACAGGACTCCCGCTGCGTGTGGTTGAAGCACTGCGAACATCTGAAGCTAGTGTGCCTTTTTCTGCAGGGATTAAAGATTTCATGTGTGAATTGTGCGGAAAGACTTTTAGTGAGAGAAACACCATGGAGACCCACAAGCTCATCCACACAGGTAAGCAGGGTGCGGCCTGGGGCGGGGGCAGCTGTGTGACCCTGCGTTGCAGACTGTTTTAGGGTATCGAGTGCCGTCCTGCCTCAGTGGTGGCCCGTTGCCTCCTAAAAACCAGCCCAGTACAACTTTCAAATATCTATTCTTAAATTTTCAATTATTGGAGCAATGATGTGGCTCCACACTCAGCGAGGGAGGAGGCCACTGTCCTGCTCACCTCAGGCTGTGCTTGCCCCTTTGGCCTGACCAAGGGCCGGTCCCAGCAGCACGTGCAGAGGGTGAGGCGCCCTCCTGCCTACCCTGCAGGCTGTGGGACCACCTCGCTCATGACCTGTGCTTGTCTTTTCCTCCGTGTGTGCATGTGCGTGTGTGTGTGTGTGCATGTGTGTGCATGTGTGTGCGTGTGTGTGCGTGTGTGTGTGTGCGTGTGTGTGTGTGTGTAGTGGGCAAGCAGTGGACCTGCTCCGTGTGTGACAAGAAGTACGTCACCGAGTACATGCTGCAGAAGCACGTGCAGCTCACACATGACAAGGTCGAGGCACAGAGCTGCCAGCTGTGCGGGACCAAGGTGTCCACCAGGGCCTCCATGAGCAGACACATGCGACGCAAGCACCCGGAGGTGAGCATCCTCCTTCCTGCTCCCACCCCCACCCCCTCCGGCCTGGTCTCTCTGCCCTCCGCCTGGTGCGAGCTTCTTTTGACCGGAGACTCCACCACCCTTGCTCAGGGGTCTGTCTCCCTTTGCAGACCTGGAATTCCTCGAGGCCGGGCCTGGGTCTTAGGTTCCCTCTGCACTGCAGCACCTGCATGTGGGAGGGAGGCACTGAATGAACAGAGAGAAGAGCCTTGCTTGTTATTTGCTAATGTTATAGGTTAATTTTCACTGGAATCACAGCAAGATGAAAGTACAAGCCTGCCCCTTGCCCCACTCTTTCCTTTGAGTGGCTAAGAAAATGTGCAGAGCAGGGCGTGTCCGGGTGGTGCTGGGGGCGATCGGGGTGGCATTGAGGACCCAGAGGGAGAACTTGTGGAAGCAAGAAGACTTGGCTCATCTGGAAGCCTGTTCCAGAGGAAGGTCCAGGGCTTTAATAACTCATTGTGCTTCAAAAAGAAGCAAACTGGAAAGCAAAACTGGGAGGAAATGCAGGCAACCAGCTCTCAGATCACCAGAGGGAAAGGCTATAAGCAGAAGAGCAATGAAAGGTGTCACGAGCAAAAACCTCAGACTTGACTTGTAAGCAACGTAACACTTAGAAGTGACGTGGTTAATGAGCAAGCAAGCTGGCAGGTGCGTGTGAGATGTTACCGTCGTTTACAGACGCCGACTTCACTATCAGAGACGATAAGCATTCAGTGTGCCTGTGAGAGGCAGTTCGGGAGAGGACCTGCCTCTGGTTAAAGCACAGGAAAAAGCACTCCCCTTCACCGAATCCCAGAGATGCAGGCGCTAACGTGCAGGACCCCCTCCATCCACGAGTGAGCCAGGAGGTTTCAGATTCAGAGCGAGCGTGCGGGCGGGCCCTGCGTGGCTGCGCTGTGGAAGGCAGCGGGCAGTGTCTCCACTGCTTTATGAATGATTCTTCGGACGCCTCCATGTCAAGCCAGGGGGATGGGTTAAGTTAGAGATGGTTAACAGTGTGCTTGGCTCTATAAACAGTTCTAAATAAGATTGTAAAGAAGCAGGATGCGCTGTGTGAGCACTACAGCGACATCCATCGCGCTGTATGTGTGTCTGCAATACTCACCTTTATCATGTAAAGGAGACGGGTGAGGAAAGGAAGGCAGGAAACAGTCCACAGTGGTTTTCTCCTGGGGGTGAAGTTATGGTCATTTCTCTACGTGATTCTCCATTTTTAATCCTTGCCTTTAATGAACGTGGGGCCTCCCGCAGTGCCGGGGTCACCAGCTGTTTGGATGAGGAACACTTACAGACAGGCTTTTACAGTTTCCCCTGATCGTGTCTAGTGTTTCTACAGCGAATTCCCTTTGTTAGTAGCTCGCCTTCCTTACACCTTTTTGGAGTGTGCATTCGCTCTCTGCATGCGTGTTCCATTGTCTCACATCTGACTTGATTTGCTTAAGTAACCCCAGTCCAGGGGCAACCGGCAGAGGCAGGCTCATGGACGAGGACCCGCAGCTGGTGGAAGGGACATGTGGGCCCCGGGAGGGAGTGAGCATGGCGTGGGGGCTGCAGTCAGGGCCAGGCAGCGTGGCTCACGGAGAGAAGGTGGGGGCGGAGGTACCCACCTTGGGGCAGGTTAAAAAGTAGTGTTTAAGGTACAAATGTCTCGTTCTTGGTAATTCCTATGGGACATTGATATGAAATAACACGATTCATTGAAATGTTATTTGCTGAAAGCACGTTCGTAGACAAAAAAGGGAGGAAAGACAGTGTCCCCCTCGGGCATGAGTGGGTGGACATGAAGTGATGCCCAGACGGGCCAGGGGCTCCCTGCATGCGCAAGTTCATTGCAGACACTGGAGGTGAGGGCACATGGCATGAGGGCAGGACAGGAGTGGGTGGGATTCTGGAAGCAGGCTTCCAGGGTCACTGCTGATGGACACATGGATGATGCCCATGACAGAGGAAGGAGAGTCATCCGGCTCACTGCCCCGGCTCTCCTGCAGGTCCTGGCCGTGAGGATCGACGACCTGGACCACCTCCCGGAGACCACCACCATTGACGCCTCCTCCATCGGCATTGTGCAGGTGAGCACAGAGCGGCCCTGTGTTTGGGGGGTGGGGGGGAGGTATGGGGACTTCCAGGTACGCAGACACCCTCGGGCGAGGCCTCCAGAACCCAGGCAGCAGTCGGGAGCACTCTGGGAAGCCCCGTGGTCCATGCTTTGTGTCTCACCTTTGTTTCATGCTCCATCTTTTTGGTCAGTCATCTCTCCAAGAGCCTTTTACTTTCTGTAAGTTTCTAGAACTTTAAGGAATCACTGATGTGACATGGAGGCTGGTAGGTTTGAAATCTGCAGGGTAGAGGGCAGACTGGAGACCCAGGGCAGGGTTGATGTTGCAACTCGAGTCTGAAGGCCAATGGAGGCAGAATTCCCTTTTCCTCCAGGGCCCTCAGCCCTTCTCCGGGGGCCTTTACCTGATTGGATGAGGCCCCCACAATATAGAGCAAGCCTGCTTTACTCAGTGTCCACTGACTTAAATGTTTATGTCATCTAAAGAGTACCTTCCCAGCAGCATCTGGACCGTGTTTGACCACACAATTGGCCCCCTAACCCAGCCAAGTTGGCACTTAAAATTAACCATCACAGGTAGTTTCCAGGAAAGCTTAGCATAATTAGTTTACATACGAAAATTCACTTTAAATGTATTAGATGAACCTACTTTTTAAAGGAGTTTTTAGGCAATACCTTCATAAAAATTTCTTTTATTATAAAGAGAACATGTCACACTCTGAGCTATTTTAAAGTCCTATTTCTACCTCTTTTTTCTGAAATGGTGTTTTGAGCCCAGTGCTCAGGTGCCAGGTTGGACTGAGTGAGTGTGAGAACACCTTAGTGCCCCCGAGGCCCACGCCCACCGTGTGAGGGCAGTGCCACGGTGACCAGGCCTGGCAGGTTCCTCTGGGTGTCTCTGCCACTGGAGCGGACCGAGTCTCATGGGGTGGCTCCAGAGGTCCTGGAGGGTGGAGGGCCGGAGTGGAGTTCCTGGCTGGACAGCCCTACCCAGGGGCCTCAGTGACCGGCCGCGGTGCACCAGCTCCCAGAGAAGCATGTGGGGCTCTCTCTGGGTCGCCGTGATGGCTGGGCCTGCTGGCTGTCCCCCGAGGAGATGACTGTCTTGTTCCTGTGGTCAAACCTGTTTTGATCCAAGACATTCTGGGGATGAGAACCTGATGTGAAAACATTTGCAGCCTCAGGCTGAGCTCCTCAGGACTGAAACAGTGGCTTAAAAATTCTGTTTTTTATGTTTTTGTTTATATTTCACCCCAAAATGTAGCTTTTTAAAATAAGACTTGTATGTATTTTCCTCCACTTAACAAAAAACCCTGAAACTTGCCTCAATCTTTAGAAATAAAGTGATCAGACTGTGGCCACTGTGTTTCCTGCGGCAGCTGAAGGCCCGAGAGCCTCAGCGCTGACCCTGGATGTGTCCCCGGCCCACACTGGCCACCTGGGCTCACAACCCATTGACCTGCAAGTGGCTGAAACTTCTTTTCCCGCAGCCTGAGCTGAGTCTGGAGCAGGAAGATTTAGCAGAAGGGAAGCCCGTGAAAGCCGCCAGGAGAAGTCACAAGAGGAAGCAGAAGCCGGAGGAGGAGGCAGGGGCCCCGGTGCCGGAGGACGCAGCCTTCAGCGAGTACTCGGAGAAGGAGCCCACGTTCACGGGCGCTGTGGGCGACGAGACTGACTCTGCCGTGCAGAGCATCCAGCAGGTGCTGCTTCCTGTGCCGGAGCTGGGGCCCAGTCACTGTGCGGGGGGCAGCTGCCCTGGGCGCCGGGGGCAGGGGGAGAGGGAGATTGAGGCGGGTAGGGGCCCACATGTACCCACCCGCTCCCCTCCCTGTCTGTCACGCCTGTGGGCGCCGTTTTTCACCTAAGCTCTCCCACCTAAGCATTTCCCAGTGTAGACCTAGAAATCACACTTGTCCTTGTGAATAGCAGCAGGACACCCTGGATGGTAGGAAAGCCGGCTCCCCTGGTTGGGCACCGGGGGTGTCTAAGAGTGTCTCTTCGTTGTGGAAATGGCCCAGTGCACCTGCCGCCCACTCAGGGAGAGTGGACCCTGCAAACCGAAGGAGCCGTCCAGCGGGTTGGAGGCTGCAGGTGGCCAGCCAATCTGCTGCCTGCAATAGAATCTTCCCATTTGCTCATCCTCCCCGCTTTGGCTTGAGGCCCCCAAATCTCGCGTCAGTGTGTCTGGTGCTGCACGGACACGTTTCCGTGGCATTCCGTCCCTCTGCACGAGGAAGAAAGCTGCTGTCTTGTGATCTGTTAGCTGCTGCTCCCACAGACTTGTTCGCTGCCCTTTTGGCTTTCTAGTTGGGCTTTTCACTGCCCACCAACAAGGCCCTTTAGAGGGCGAATATACAGTGATCTGTCTTTCTCATTATTACTTTTCTCCATTATTTTCTAGCCTGTGGAATCATTTGCTTCTCAGTTCGACCTAATGGCGTCTATGCTATGTCTGTATCTTTTTTTCTCCTTTTCACCAGAGTTATTGTTTCAGGACAAAATTAACTTGATTTAACCTTTTACCCAAAGATGCTTCGCTCTCTCCTTTGGGCCTGTGCTTATTCCAGCATGATGACCCGCCTGTCACCGTGTGGAGAGGGAACCTGTGTCCTCCCCTGTTCAGGGACTCACTGTTTTATGTTGGCTCTTCCAGGTGGTGGTGACTCTGGGGGACCCGAACGTGACCACTCCATCGAGCTCGGTTGGCTTGACCAACATCACCGTGACGCCCATCACCACGGCAGCCGGGACTCAGTTTACCAACCTCCAGCCGGTGGCCGTTGGGCACCTAACCACCCCGGAACGTCAGCTGCAGCTGGACAACTCAATCCTGACCGTGACCTTTGACACTGTCAGTGGCTCCGCCATGTTACACAACCGCCAGAATGACATCCAGCTGCACCCCCAGCCGGAAACCTCGAACCCGCAGTCCGTGGCCCACTTCATCAACCTGACCACGCTGGTCAACTCCATCACGCCCCTGGGAAACCAGCTCAGTGACCAGCACCCGCTCACGTGGCGGGCAGTGCCCCAGACTGACGTGCTGCCAGCCCCGCAGCCGCAGGCCGCCCCTCCGCCGGCGGCGCAGCCCCAGGTGCAGGCCGAGCAGCAGCAGCAGATGTACAGCTACTGAGGCGCCTGGTGGAGGACTTGCAAGGGAACCTCAGATGGGCTTCCTTGTGTGTTGTTGAGATTTGTTTGCTGGATACCAAACAGAAAAAAGAATCATCCATTGCAATGTAAGTAAGGTTGATTAGCTTTTGCAGACTTGTCTCCAAATCCCGCAGCAACCAGCATGGTCTCCCAGTTTGGCTACAACAGGTGTCTGTAGACCCAGGCAGGGTGCAGGCACTGCCTTAGCCGGACAGCTGGTTGGGCTGTGGCCACGCCTCCAGCCTTCCCCAGCAAAAGTGGGTCTGGTGGACACTGCTCCAGAAAGCCACACTTCAAGAGAAGCAGGACCCCAGGAGGCGAGTGCTATGTTATTGGGAGCATAAGGGGTTTGCTTTATTTTTCCTCTGGAACTCAGTTACTGTATCAAAACGTGGACAGTCCCACGTGTGGCAACAAGCTGCAGTGACATGCAGCTTTCTCCTTGCTCCTGGATATTTTTTGCAAGTGAGCAAGTAGAAGTTCAATTAACACTGAGTCTCCACTTTGAAATCTGAGTTGAGCCGAATTTGTTTCACAACTTTGGGCTGAAACCATGTATGAGAAGATGGCTGTGAGAGCACAGGGCCCCCTCTGGCTTCAGGTTCATCCCAGGCCAGGGGTCATGAGGTCGCTGACTCAGGCATAAAGGCCTCTTCGTAATTTAATTGATTTTTAGGATCATTTTTTCTTTTTTTACTTTATTTCAAGCATATATTATGTATTCAAAACTCAGTTGTGGCCATGTTTTTTTGTTTTTTATTTTAACATGCAAACGTCATTTGCACTGTAGGACGGTTGGTCCATGTCCAGTCTGCACAGCTGCCCCAATGCAAAGGGGCACACAGTTGTGGGCAACAAGGAAGCCTCGTGCTCCCGTGCTGGTGGCACCTTTGGGAATGACTTCCCTGCCACCACATGTATTTATCATGGTGGAGGCTCAGCCAAAACCCCCTGAACTGAAGAACAGGGAAGAAATTCATGTGTTTTCTTCTGTTTAAACTTTAATTCCAAAGGTTGACGTGGTTCAAGATCAGTTTTCTCTACAAATGTGGAGTAGGCGTGGAAAGCATAGGTTTTTGTAAGACACAGTGATACTGCTGTTTCCTGCCAGGCAGTGAGGAAAGCAGAGGTTAGTTCAGCAGTAGAGCCATTAATGCGCCCATGAGCGTGCTGAGTAGCGACCAGATCTGCTTCCCGGGACACGCCCTTCATCCGTGCACCCATCCCAGGTGGTGGGCGAGGATGAGGCCCACCAGCAGCCCGCCCTCCTGCCTCAGCCAGAGAAACAGAACAAAGTTTGATTTTTACTCTCCTAATATTTTTAACGCTGTCCAAAATGAAATGATAAATTTGCCTTATCTGTCCTTGCTCACTCTGCCCCAGACCCTGTATGATTTGGGAGATCCTCTTGAAGAAAGACTGAATAGGAGTCGGCAGGAGCTAAGTGATATTGCCGGTGAGGCTGAGGACGATTTGCTACGCAAAATGAATTTTCTCAGCACTTGCTTTGTTCCGCATGGCGAGATTCTGAGGACAGGGCTAGAGTTTGTTTTGTGCAATACACGCCTTCACAAACTGAGGAGACTCCTCACCCAGTGGCCGTGGAAGGGCCTGTAGAGTCCCCCTCCTCCACACAGCTCATGCATACACTCCCAGCTCTCGCCTCGGATGGTTGAAGTAATTGTGGGAGATTGTTTGACTTTTTAATTTATGATAGTTATTTTTATGTTATTTATGTATATAATTACCTGCTTTTTACATAATAGTTTCATCAAAGGAATTTGGGTGAGGGGTGATAGATTTTCTAAAATATTGTCTCCATTCTCCAAATATAAGGGGTCCAGGTACCCACGGAATTGCCCAGAATGCCAGGGTTCCTAAGATATTTTTTAAGTATCACCAACACACTGACAATTTCTTTTTGCATTTGCAGAATATAAAGGGCAAATGACCAAGTAAAGAAAACAGAACAGACATGATCAAACGTCTGCTAGCATTCCCTTTACTCCTCTTCCTTGTGAAGCAAAGGCCTTTTAAATCACAGTTTTATTTTTTTAAAGAAGTTGTGTTTGTGCCTAGAGTAAGAATGCACCGGATGTTCTTGAAGAGCCTAACATAGGTTGTGTGGCCTGGTGTCCTACCACTGTTCATTTAAATAACGGACGAATAAGAACACTTCTTGTTATAATAAGTGAGAACTCCACGTAAAAGTGAGGTGGAGTCCTGAGTTTCCCGTGGATGGATTTGGTCTTCATAGGGCTGCTGTCTGAGGCAGAATGGATTCAGGTGTCTTAAGACAGTTGCTCTCTGAGTGCATGTGGAAGAAGCTGGGGAGCTAGAACCCCAAGTTCTGCTCAGCCCTGAGTCATTGACTGTAGATTGTTCTGCGCCTGTATCACTGTTCACTGGCAGGAATGTTTCATTTTTTAACTGATCCCAGTTGCACAGCTGTAGCCATAAAAGCAAATTGGCTCCAGCCTTTGTGGCCACCAGGCTCTGTGAATCCATCTCGGTTGTTCTAAATTAATAAATCATGAGAATTTATTTGGGGGCCTCTGGATTTGTAATGTTGTGTCATTCTGGGCCACAAGATGGCGCGAACCTTGGGGAGTTGGACCCCAATTCTGACTCCTGAGTTCTGAGCCCGGCGGCAGGAAGGGACTGAGCCTCTGGATCGGCCGTCCGCTGGGACCTGTTCTCTGCAGGCGCCACCTCTGGGTCCCACAGGAAACCGCTTTGGAGAATCTGGGCATGGGAGGCAGAGTCACGGACTGCACATGTGTTTCCTAAGCTACACGTGTGTTTCCCCAGCTACACGCATGTTTTCCAAGCTACTGTGTCCAAAGGTGTAAGGCTCCTGCTTCCCACCTGGAGGCGCTGTCGGGACATTGCCATTGGTTTTGAAGTTCATTAAGACTGTTTGGAGAAGTTAGTGTATTTTATGTCCCATCAGTTTGTTTAATGAAAAATAAAAGGTGCTGTGACCTGTGTTTTTCAATCGCTGGCCCTCTCTCAAATCCCTGTTCTAAGTACTGGACGCATCCTATCTAATAAAGAGGGAATATGCAAATTGACCATTACTCCGCAACAAAGATGGCGGTGCCCACAGCGGAGGCAGGGGTTTCCGTAACACAAATGGCTGCATGCACAGTGGAGGCTGAGTTCCCATAACAAGCCTTAATGAGCAATCAGCAGGGACCTGAGGCTGTGGCCCCCGCTCCTCCCATGGGGCTTGACAGGGGACCTCAAGGTGTGCCTCCCTGCCCCAGTGCTGGGCCAGGGGAACTCAGGCTGCTCCCCTCGCCCTGGGCCGGGGGACCTCAGGCCACACCCCCTGCCCAGCAGGGCTTGACGGGGGACCTGAGGCTGTGCCCCCCCTCCCGGTGGGGTTTGACGAGGGACCTCAGGCTGTGTCCCCCACCTGGCAGGCTTGACAGGGGACCTCAAGGTGCGTGCCCCGGACCAGGCTGGGGTACCTCAAGCCGCCCCCCTCCCCCAGTGCTGGGCCAGGGGACCTGAGGCTGTGCCCCCCTGCCCGGCGGGGCTTGACAAGGGTGGGACCAGACAGGTCTTAATCTAGCCCAGTGTGGGGATGCCAGCCGGGTCTGGGTCTCACACTATTTTGAGGCGCACGTGGGTGGGCAGGGACTTAACTCCAGGTCCCATGGTGCACCCCAGACTCTGACAGGAGGAAGATTTTCATATACATTTTACTAATTTTCTTTCATCTCTGACACTTCTATTAGAGAGAAAGGGCAAATAGCAATATTAAAATATTTCCTCTAATCCCCTTTTAATGTGCACAAATTTCGTGCACAAGGCCACTAGTTTGATATATTTGGAGAATAGTTGTTTTCCTGCTGCCGAAGACAGTTTGATTTCTCTGCAGCCTGGAACCTGTAGAACGTTTGGATTACTTGAAATGTTCTGTGAGGTCTCAGAGGCTTTCCCAGGGGTTAAAAAAGGTCAACAAATAAGGTGCAGGTAGCATTTCTTGCAAAGCTTAGATTAGCAAACAGACACAAAAAAGATGAGGAGCCAGACAGGGGAAAACTTCATCCAGGCATTTTTGGGGGGCTGCTGGTCTGGAACAATCCCTCATCCGTCAAATATTAAATTATATATCCTGCTCTGGCTGGTGTGATTCAGTGGTTAGAGCGTCAACCTGCACATCACACATCAATGTTTCTCTCTCTTTTTCTCCCCCCTCCCTCCCTCCCTTCCATTCTCTCTAAAAATCAATGGAGAGAATATCCTTGGAGCAGGATTAACAATTATATATTGCGATCGGAGGGATGGTCATCGTAAAGTTATGCACCACCTGACATGTCATCCAGTCCTCTAAGGATTTGAACTCGGAAATGTCCTACACACTTGAGTCATATGTTTGATATATAGGGTAGCAGTTCATTTGGCCAGTGAAGGGTTCATTCTTTTAACAGTCAGCAAATTCCGAGCACCTTCTTGTTTGCACCAGGCCTGCCGGTCCTGCTTACGGTCGACCTTTCAGAGCATCCCTGGGCAGTGGCGGTGGCAGGTGCTGTCCGTCACTCTCGGTTCATCCATACCCTGTGTTTCTTGGTGAAGTCAGATTACCACGTGGCGCTTGGCTCCACTAACAGCCCTGGGACAGACTCGCCTGCAAACAGTCCTTTCACTGCATAAAGAACAGATGCCGGGACCAGCCATCATGGCTCAATGGTTGAGCGTCAACCTATGAACCAGGAGGTCACGGTTTGATTTCTGATCAGGCCACATGCCTGGGTGGCAGGCTCGATCGCCACTGTGGGGCATGCAGGAGGAGATGATCAATGATTCTCTCTCATCATTGATGTTTCTATCTCTCCCTCTCCCTCTCTGAAATCAATAAAAAAAAGATTTAAAAAAACCAAACACAACAACAAACAGATGCTGGCAGAAAGGGGGAGATGGCTGGACCACTGGCTGCCTCCTCCTCAGTTTTTTGGTTTTTTTAAAAAATATATTTTATTGATTTTTTACAGAGAGGAAGGGAGAGGGATAGAGAGTTAGAAACATCAATGAGAGAGAAACACTGATCAGCTGCCTCTTGCACACCCCCCACTGGGGATGTGCCCGCAACCAAGGTACATGCCCTTGACCGGAATCGAACCTGGGACCCTTGAGTCCGCAGGCTGATGCTCTATCCACTGAGCCAAACCAGTCAGGGTTCCTCCTCAGTTTTTATGTCTTGCTTGAGTGCATCAGCATCAAGGGGTCCTTGCTTTCAGTGGCAGGGCCAGATGATCATACTTGGGTGGTGATGCAGTCAGCGCAGTTACCAGACATGGCCCTGAGCTGCCTGGACAGAGCTGGCTGGACCTGCCCTCCCACCTGCACCCTGCTCCCCACAGAGCTGAGGCTCCCCCTCCTGGGCCCCACCATCCCAGGTGCAGGCGCCGGCACTCCCAGAGACACCTGAAGCGTGGCACTCCACACCCACGCCGCCTCGGAGCCGCACAGCCCACTCTCTCCCCATTGACGGGTCTGCTTCCCACCGTTGCTCCAGAAAAAAGGGTGAGACCCCCAGGGGCAGGTGCCCCTCCAATGGGGCCTGGACCCGCCTGTGCCTTCACAGAGAGCCTGGCCCAGCACACTTCCCCAGGGAGAGGGAGGATGGAGGACCTGGGATTTCTGGACTCGGCCTGTTCCACGCAGGGGGACCCAGATCCTCAGGAATGCCAGTGGGTCGTCCCCTTACGTGACAGCTGGAGCGTGGCCTGAGCCAGAGTTTCACCCACAAAGGTAGGGCCTCTGGGAGGTGGTCAGGCTGGGAGGCGGCCCTCAGGAATGGATCATTGTTCTCTGAAAGAGACCCCAGCCCTCCCACCATGAGGGGACAGCGGGAAGGCACGTCTGTGAACCAGGAGTGGGCCCTCACCAGACACCAAATCTGCAGGCACCTTGATCTTGGACTTCCAGCTTCCAGAGCCGTGAGAGGCACATTTCTGGGGTTTTTATATGCTGCCCAGTCGGTGGTATTCTGTTACAGCAACCGAGGGACAGTGTGTGTGTGTGCGTGTGTGTGTGCGTGCGTGCGTGTGTGTGTGTGTGTGTGTGTGTGTGTGTGTGAAATGCTGTACAAGTTCATCACTTGTGGTTTGTGTATCATCACCGTCAGTATACTAAGTATGTTGTTGTTTTTAAGATTGGCTTTTTAAAAAATACATGTTTTCTTTGATTTCAGAGAGGAAGGGAGAGGGAGAGAGAGAGAGAGAAACATCAGTGATGAGAGGAAATAATTGACCGGCTGCCTCCTGCACGCCCCCTCCTGGGGATGGAGACGACTGGCTGTTTTTCACTGCATCACACCCTTGAGAGCTCCCCGAGAGGTTTGTTCCCTTCTGTTGCTGAGTCTGTTGTGTGGATGTACAGTTCGTTCAGCCCGTCCCCCACTGAAGGCCTTTCTGAGTTGTTTCCAGTTTGGGGCTCTGAAGATGAAAGGTGCTGTGAACACTGGTGTGCTCATAGTTGTGTGTGCACACGTTTGCATTTCTGTCGGATGACGCCCAGGAGTGCGATGGCCAGACTGTAAGGTGGGCGCGTAGACTTACCGGGGGAACGGTGTGGGACTGCCTGTGAGCCGGCGCCAGGTCGTTTCACGTGTGGCTGTGTTAGCCGGGGAACCAGTGTTCTAGGTGCAGAGGCGGTAAGAACCATGTGTGCTGTATCCTAACAGCAACACCTAAAATCTGAGACCGTGGTTTTGGGAAATGAGAAGAAGAGTTTGCCCAGCCCAGAAGCCTTGTGGAAAGGAGGGACTCCACCCTTTTACTTGAGCCTGTGGGAAGGTGTGTCCCCTAAGTGCTAGGGAAAACATACTCTCTTGACTGCCAAAGCTTTGAAACATTAAAAAACACCAGAATTTATTATATCCAGTTGGAATTATCACGTGAAATTTCTGTGTCTTCACAGACTTTCGGAAACCCGGACTTCCATGTGGATCGCCCCCACACATCCTCGTCTTTGCTACACAGCTCTCCAGGGCCTCCCTGTGCCGGCCTGTGAGAGCCTCCTGATGGAGGCAATAAAAGAACAGCGGGCCCGGCCGGTGTGGCTCAGGGGTTGGACATTGGCCCATGTACCAGGCGGTTGCCAGTTCGATTCCCAGTCAGGCACATGCCTGGGTTTCAGGCTCGATCCCCAGTGGGGAAGTGGGCGGGAGGTGGCCATTCCGTGATGTTTCTCTCTCTCTCGGCGGTGTAGCTATCTCTCTCTCTTCCTCTCCCTGTCTCTCTCTAAAATCAATACAAACATTTTTTAAAAAGAGCGGTGGAAATTTCCCAAAAATACCATAGTGGAAAAAATTACCCGTGTCTCATGTTCTTAGAATCATGGTGTCCCTAGCAAAGATCTTGTTTTGTACTTGTTTGTCTTTCTGGTCGGTTGGACAGTGATTTTTCCAGTTCCTTAGAAGGTGAGAGCTGAACTGTGTGTGGCTAGATTTTCAGCTCTTAGACACATCTTAAAAGCAGCAGTAAAAATATGTAACTGAAACAAATCGTACTTCAATGAACAGCACGCCAGGTTAGAATCAGAACAATAGCTCTGGCAGGGCCTGTACCTGCATTAGCTCCCAGATGGCGTCACTCATTGTGGGATGAGGGGGTTCCCAACACCCCTAGCGCGATAGGACCATCACAAAGCTTGGTCTTCATGAATCAGCCATGTCCTGTGTGTGGAGTTGGGTCTCTTTTCTTGTGTTGAAAACAGTGTGAGAACTTTTAGAGAAATTGTGGACTTCGACTTTTTTTTTTTTTTAACTAGAGGCCTATACTTTTTCCTTTTTCACTTAAAAGGCAACAACAAAAACAGTAAATGACTTTACGGGGCTCCTAACTGACTGTGTCATCTGTGGCTCCATAGGGAGCTCTGGCTATAATTACCCCCCACCCCACACCTGCCTTCAAGTGGGGTCGGAGCCGGGATGATTTAACCCATTATTCACCAGCCACAGTCAGACTTCTGACTCTGCGGGGCTGCGGCACCTCGAGGCCGCAGGGCAAATGGCTGGGAGAACGTCCACTTGGGCTCCGGTGACTCAGCTGAGTGAGGCGCCCTTTTCTTCAGCTTGGGACCAACTCCAGCTTCGTAGCCTTCGGCTGTGCCTTTACTCCAAACCAAGAACAGAAACGTCGCGTGCCTTCCCCAGACCTGATTGATTTTGTTACCAGTGCGGCGAGTGGAAGAGATTTTCCAACATCACATGGTCATCGAAGGGTCCCCGTCCAGGAACACCGTCACGTAAGATGATGCAGGATATGCCTTCCTGTTCTGCGCGTGCTAAAAAATAAATAAATAAAAAGACGAAGAAGAGCTGATGATGGCCTCCTGTCTAACCACCTTTCACTTTGTAAACCCACGCGCTAAGTCCTGGGCCAGCCCTGGTCCTTCAGCACCTCTCCAGACGCTTCCTCCTCGGTGTCAACCTTCGAGGGCTCCACAAATGGGCTGCAAACCCCGAGGTACGGTATCACTGTGCACATTCCAGCGAAGGCTCCGTGTGCGACTGAAGTCCCGTGACTTAGAAACTCCAAAATCACCTCACCTCGCATTGTGACTGGGGTACGTAGAGATTTTCTAGAATGTGTTGACTGGGATGACGGCCTTTTAAAACTCCTTGCTTTCCCGGGATGGATGAAACGACGATGTGTCTAAATCCCTTTCCTGTGACCTGAGGAAGGAACGCGTGTGTCTAGTCATGGGGCGGCCTGTGTCTGTCACAGGAACAAAGGGTGGCTCCTGGGACAATGCACGATGGCCCCCCCCCCAAAGGTCCTGCACAAAGGACATTGCCCGAAACAGAGCCCTTGCACGCTTCTGAGCCGCGAGCACAGCGAGGGGGAGGCGCCTGCTGCTCCCTGCGGGCTCTGTCCTTAATGCACATCAACACCATGCCTGTCTGTGTGCGGCCCACTCCATCTCTTGTTCTTGTGCAAAAACAGGGCAACTCTGTGGTTTCATTTTCTATCTCAGCATATAATAAACTTTGAACTTAATTTCTTTAATGATCACTTTTTCAGAGGAATGTAAAATGTTAACCTATCCGGCATCCAAAAACATCAAGTCTGAGTGATTCTACAACTTTAAGTACTGAGCTGATCTTGGACCTGTCACATGCTGCACATTTTACTTAGTCTTTTAAGGTTCTTTTATTTTTATTATTGTTATTTTTTGTTAATCCTCACCTGAGGACATTTTTTCCATTGCTTTTCAGAGAGAGGGTAGAAGGGAAGGAGGAAAGGGGAGAGAGAGAGAGAGAGAGAGAGAGAGAGAGGAGAAACATTGATGTGAGACATATTGATTGGTTGCCTCCCACATGGGCCCATCAGGGGCGGGTTGTGAACCCACAACCCAGGTATGTGCCTTTGACCAGGAATCAAACCCTTTGGTGCACCAGCAGACGCTCTAACCATTGAGCAGCACCAGCCAGGGCTTTTCTGGTTCTTTAGAAGAGCGTGTGCCAGCAGTGACCCATCCTGTCATTACAGTCCCATCATCACCAGACGGTAAGTGACACCTTCGGGATCCCACAATCTTCCATGTGTGCTTTCCATTTCTCTTCCTGTTGGGCTGCTGTGAATACAGGGCTCCAGGAGACAGACTGTAAATACTGCTACGTTAATCATCCAGTCTTCCACCTTGGGGCGGCCTTGCAAATAGCAACATCGCCTCTATCCCACGGCCCAGCTGAAGGAGCCTTTTATAATCTGCAAGGACGCGCCCTCAGGGTCGGGCTAGGGACACACCCTCAGGACAAGGTTGCGGCTTGCCCTTCTTGCCCAGGAATGCTTTCCAAAAATGTAAGTTTTTGATCTTGTGAAACAATAGGTTCCAGAAGGCAGTAAGTCGATTACTTTTTTTTTTTTTTCTTGTAACGAATGAAATATTCTTGCATTATCGTTTTTTCTGTGGTCGGATTCAATTAGGACATTAAAAGCCTGAAGTTTTGAAGGTTTTTGAATCATAGTCAATGCTATAAACCGGTCCTTCCATTGGAGTCTGAAGTTAGGTGATGACTCTGTGCATGGATATTGGGCGTACGACTGTTCCAGACAGGTTGGCAGGTAGTTACTCAATCTTTGCAGTTTAGTCTTTAATAACTTCTATTAGAGTGGAACTGAATTGACAAGCCTGTGACACCAACATCGTCGTGTCCTTATGCAATGAAGTCTCATACTGAGGACTTTACCGCTGGCGTCAAGCGGGCTCGGAGCCCGGGCCGATGCCCTCGCCTGCTGCGTGCATAGCTCGCTGTCCTCCCAGCTGCCACGGTGACAACACGTTCTGCAAGGTGCTAGAAGGGCTTTTCCAAATTATTCTATTTTGATGTACAAAGCAAAGAGTTGAGCGCAGATGGGAGGAATTTAATAATTATTCTATTCTATTCTTTTAAGGTTTAGAATGTGCATTACTTATTGTAGAATAGGGGAAATGGAAGTTCAGAAATTGAAGGTTTTAGAAAGGTTTAGAATTTTTTAAAGAGAATGGCGTATTTTTTTATGGTTATTGTTTTGCATTTGTTTAAAGGAATAGATTTTTTTTTCTTTAGCAATCTAATGTGTGTACTTTTGGATAACCTCCCAATGAATAGCTTCATCCTAGATTAAAAATTCCTTGGCACCTTTATGCTATGGAAGTTCTTTTTCTATATATAGGGATGAGGAAAGGCATTTACCAAAAAATCTAAGGTGCCTTTATAGGCATTTGTCTTTCATATCTTATAGCTTTGGGTGATTAGGGTCACAAACTTCTTTTGTATTGACAAATTTGGGCAGTCCCAGATTATGTAAGGAATCAGGGTGGCATTGGGCTCTCAGGGTACAGTAGCAAGAAAGGAATTTAGCACTATTCTGAAGCATCAACTTAGAAACCTTCCTCATTTTACACTGATGTGGGAGCTTGTGGCCCTTTCTCATCCTATATAATAAAGAGGTAATATGCACATTAACCCTCACGCCCTCACAAGATGGCTGCCTGCGACCAGGCCAGCAGGGTGGTTAGTGAGAGACGACCAAACGACTGGACAAGCAGGCTGCTGGGGCAACCAGGCTGGCGAGGGGCGTTGGGGGGGGGGGGAGGCTATGAGGGGCGACCAGGCCAGCAGGGGTGGGGGGCAATTGGGGCAACCAGGCTGGCAGGGGGGGCAGTTGGGGGCAACCAGGCCGGCAGAGGGGGGCAGTTGGGGTTGACCAGGCTGGCAGGGGTGATAGTTAGGGGCGATCAGGCCAGCATGTGGAGGCAGTGAGGGGCAATCAGGCCAGTGGGGGGGGGCAGTTAGGGGTGACCAAGCAGGCAGGCAGGTGAGCGATTAGGAGCCAACTGTCCAGGATTGTGAGAGGGATCCCAGATTAGAGAGGGTGCAGGCTGGGCTGAGGGCCGCCCCCCATGCATGAATTTCGTGCACCAGGCCTCTAGTAAACTATAAGCTGCTTGGTTCCAAATATCTCTATTGCATCAGAAAGAATCAGAATGTCCTTGATTTCTTCATTTCTAAATGGGAAGAATGCAGGTGTGGCACATTTTAAGATCAGGCAGGACATGGCTTGACTCTCATGACCTATAATAAAATCTACCCAATTCTGCTTTCCAAGTGGGGGCCTGTGCATAGGAAGCTTCTTCCATAGAAAACATCAGTAATTAAGAAAATATTTTCTAGCCGAAACCGGTTTGGCTCAGTGTATAGAGCGTCGGCCTGCGGACTGAAAGGTCCCAGGTTCGATTCCGGTCAAGGGCATGTACCTTGGTTGAGGGCACATCCCCAGAAGGGAGTGTGCAGGAAGCAACTGATCGATGTTTCTAACTCTCTATCTATCTCTCTCCCTTCCTATCTGTAAAAAATCAATAAAATATATTTTTTTTAAAAAAGAAAATATTTTCTTCTATGCAGCCCTGTCTCATATGCATAATCTCACACATTCTCTCTCCCCTCCCCGCCCCCCCCCCCCACACACAATCTCACACACACCTCAACTTCAAGATTTTCAGTTAGCAATTTCAGAATAGTTTTTTATCTTTAATATTCATTTAATTTGTCTTTGCAAATAAATGTTTAACATTAGTATGTAGATACTTGCTGATTATTATTGCGATTTTGTATTTAAATTGCAGGGTTTATTAATTTATTTATTTACTTTCTTAATTGCAGTTTTTATGGCAATTTTATTTTATTTAAATTCCTCCCATCTGTGCTCAACTCTTTGCTTTGTACATGGGCTTCATTGTTATTTACTTTTATCTCTTACAGATTTCCAGGGAATATATGAATTCTATTAAGAATCTTTCATTAAACCATACTTACCTATGAGTTTATGTTTAATTGTAGAGCATGTACTATCAGTATTGCAGCAAACACTTTGCCAGCAAGCGTTTGCTTTGGAGCCGGGCCAGAAAGCATGCCAAGTCAGTTCCTTGTACTTTTCCTATAAGCACAGATCACGTAGGGAGATTTTAGACTTAAAAATATGTCATTTCATAACTATGTCGTAGTCTACTCTGAAAAGGGCAAGAATAAGTCAAAATTTATGATTTGGTTAATTAAAGTCTACGTAGCCAAGGAAAGAAAAACAGATGAATCCCTAGAAAAGTTGAAGAATTCATCTTTTTTAAAAAAAATTAACTCTTAATATTCTGAATTTCCTTGTAATGAGGTGTTTTGTTTTCATTTGTTGGCACATGGCCTGTGATTTGATGCTAGACAGTGTAGCATAGAAAAATGGAAGGTTTTCATAACAATCACAATTTCTCTCTCTTCCTGCCTCTGACCTTGTGCCCAGCCACGGTGTGGGGGGCACTCCATTCTCCCATACATTTGAGTTGCCGGGGAGAGCTCCTGCCGGCTGGGACTGCCCATCCTGGCAGGCTGTGCCTCATCAGTGCTGGGTAGGGCGTAGGAAGCCAGCTCAGCAGGGCCAGGGCCACGCACTCAGCCCTGACCACTGTCCTGGAAGCCCGGGCCCATTTGGGCTGGAGGCTCAAATATTTCACACTTTTAATAAGTAATACTACTACAAATGTTACAGTGTCTGCTTGCAGAGGCTTTTGATTTGTTTTGCAAATCAAATAGTTAAAATCCTGAGTAAAAACAACAATATATTGTTTTAATGTTTCCACTGATTTATTTGTTAGCCACACGAGGTGCCCAGTGTTTCCCGGGTCCGTGTAAATGTCTCCCCTCTGAGGTGCACGGCCTTCCCTCCGTCATGGCTTCTGTGATAACCGGTAAGAGACACAGATGAGAAGACGACAGAGATCCTGGAGGTGAGCTTTAGCCAGGGAACATTGGTAGAAACCCTGGAAAACATGCGTGCGTCAGGTGTTGAGTACTTAACTACAACATGAGTCTTTTACTGACATGAAGAAAGGCACATGGGTAGTTTTATGTGATAGATCCAAAAGAGCCTCCGGCAGGCGTACAGAACCCCCTGGCCCACAGGCAGGCGTGTCTCCTTGAACTCTGCGCCTGGAGCAGCAGGGCTGGGGGACTGCACCCACGTGCCCGGCCCCTCAGGGACTGCCCTGTCAATATTTACCCAGGTCGTTGCTCTCGCTCCTTCTCACGCACGCACCGCTGCCTGTTCTGCACGCTGTGGAGCTGTACGCAGGTACCAGCTAGTTGCAGAAAAATTATTTCCACTGAAGCTGCAAGTCTTTACGTAGAAGCATAGAGCAGACTGGGGAATCTCAGAGGGAAGGCGGGGGAGGGTGGGTGGGTGGGAAGAGATCAACCAAAGACCGTGTATGCATATATGCATAACCCATGGGCACAGACAAGGGGGTGGTAAAGGCCTGGGGTGGGGGATGGGGGTCAGGGACGGAAGGGGGTGGGCTAGAAGGGGTCTATGGGGGCAATAAGGGGACATATGTAATACTTTCAACCATAAAGATTTCATTTTTTAAAAAGTGAAAGTCTTTAAAAATTGATCTAAAGATGTGGAGAAAGGGAAGCTTTTTAAAAAGTCAGTCAATGTTTAATTCATTTAAATGTTAATGTTAGTTTACTCAATTTAAATGTTAATTTTAAGTTATTAGTTTATAACAATTTATCAATATTGGTTTGTAAATTATAACAAAATACCACACTAATAATGTTAATAATAGGGAAAACTGTGGCGGGGCTGAAGGGCCTGGGAGAGGAGGGGGTCTATGGAAGTTCTGTCCCTTCTGTGTAATTTTTCTGTAAGCCTAAAACAGCTCTAAAAAATGAAGTCTTTAATTTTGTTAAAAACAATTATATGTATATGTATATATTATTTATATGTAATATGTATATATGTATATGAATATATATAAAATATATACTATACATAATTAAATATGTATATATTTATATAAAATAATTGTCTTTACACAAAGTTAATATATGTAGGTGTATTTGTGTATGTATATATGTGTATTAATATGTATGTATATATTTATGTATGTGTGTATTTGTATATATGTATATGTGTGTGCTCACTGTGTATTTGTATATGTGTGTATATGTGTATGTATGCATGTGTGCATAGTGTATATTCATGTATACATGTATGTATGTATGCATGTGTATATATGTATACATAGGTGTTCGTGTGTGTCTATGTAGAGATATACAGCAAGCACTGGGGGGAGATTGAAATGGTTGGGCTTCCTTAGAGAGCTGTTTGTCAGTATCTTGTGAAGTTAACATACCTCTTCCCCACAGTTTAGCCCTTCTGCTCCTAGAGTGCCTTACGGCAGATGCACCCACGGGGTGAGGGATGAGGGTGTGAGAGATGGGGTGCATTGCTGCCTTCCCTCCGTTTTCTTTCTTACAGTTTCCACTTTCATCGCCATGATACACGTGCGGTGTGAACGCAGGGCGTGGGGCACAGCTGGTGGCCTGCCCTGGGGGCATTGGTGCAGCTGAGTGGGGGGCCTCTGCTTCGTGCACATGCGCACATAAGGTAAAGCAAAGCGCGTTAGCCTAGGAGGGGGCGATCTGAGGATCACGTTTCATAGAAATGAATTCATTTTTTCCTTATTCTACCGCCATACCTTTGATGTTTTCCTGCTTCCCACTAGATCGGTCTTATATTTGAGCCATATTCTTTAATAATAAATATTGACTTTGCCTTCAACACATGAAAAACGAGTGTTTAAATAATGGATCGTTTGTTTAAGCTTTAAATTACAGATGCAATGAGTAGTCACAAAGCGGAGATGTGTTTGAAAATAATGTAAAGATTACATTAATTAAAGCCGCTTTCATCTGAGTTCCTCCAGCTCAGGAACCGTGTGTGCTCCGTAAGCAAGCACAGGGGAGGTCACCTGGCCCACCTGCTGGGATGCGGCAGGTGACTTCCCGCACGCACCTTCCAGAACTCGGATGGGGAGTCAGACTGAAGCTCTTGCTATAACATGAAAACCCTGGCTTCTGCAGAACCTATTTTATTAGTTCCATGTGTAACTTCGACCCACTGCTCCATAACTTTAAAATGATATGTGACTATGGAAAAGTGAATATGTTTTACTGACCTTGGAAATTAATAGTAAAAAAATCCCAAGAAATCATGATAATCTCACTGTTGCTTATGGAGGGAAGTAACTGATCAGGTGGGGAGGCCATTGGCATTTTAAGAAACTGTAAGTAAACTTTGAACAATATATCTCACCTTTTGTTCTTAGAATGGCCTAGACCAGGGGTGGGCAACCCCTGGCACGCGTGCCAAACATGGCATGCCAGTAACTTTTGCTGGCACTCGAAACACTCTTTTATAATCTTCCATTTACAATTTTTTTCTTAATATCGACTTTTTTATTTTTCAGATAAATTCAGTGTAGGTGCATCTTAGATAAATAATTTTACATAACATGTATACATTAAAAAATAAATGTATTTTTCATCATCATATACTGTGTTTTTGTCGCTTGAATGAATTTTATTATTTCTTCAAGGTTCTTCACATATGTACACCTTAAGATATATCAAGTAGGTGTAACATGTTCTCAAAAAATTAAGGTTGGCACGCAGAAGAATTTTGAGTCAGAGATTTTGCTGGTTTTGGCATGCACTCACGAAAAGGTTGCCCACCCCTGGCCTAGGCTTTGGCTGCATTAAACAATACATGCCATTTTGCTAGAAATGGGGCTGCTGTGTTTACAGAAAATCAGTTGGCAGGAGGTACAGAGGAGGAAGAGAGAGCCGCCCCCCCCCCTCCGCCCGCCAATATGTACTTAGATGACGATGCAGAGTAGCCCATTTACAGCGTGTCTGCGTTATGCATTTTTATTAATTTTTGCTGGCTATTCTGTGCCAATAGTTCCCTTTCAAGTTCAGAGCTCCTCACACCAAAGCTCTCCACTCCCCAGAACACAGGTAATGACAGGCCCTGAAAATCACACTTACACTGCAGTCCCAAATAATGGCACCCACAGCGTGGTCCCTGGAAAAGCTCTAAGGCAGTGGTTCTCAACCTTCTGGCCCTTTAAATACAGTTCCTCATGTTGTGACCCGACCATAAAATTATTTTCGTTGCTACTTCATAACTGTCATGTTGCTGCTGTTATGAATCATAATGTAAATATCTGATATGCAGGATGGTCTTAGGCGACCCCTGTGAAAGGGTCATTTGACCGCCCAAGGGGTCGCGACCCACAGGTTGAGAACCGCTGCTCTAAGGCATCCTTTCATTTTTGTAGTTCTTTTTGTCCTCAGTGTGTTTCCCACAAGGGGTGACTTTCAAATGCCCACTCTTTAAAGCCACTTGGAATAGCTCTGGTTGGCCAGGCCGTCCACTGGATACACATTTGGTTCTTTTGTCTTATTTTATTTCTGGTATTTAAGGATTGCTTTTTAAAAGTCAACTCGTTTTACAAGTAAGCAGAATATTTGCATGGTTCCAGTCTATACAACAAAGGTGTGTTTCTATTCCAGGTCCTTCTACTCTCCATCCCCACAGGTACCCTTCAAAATACTTATGGCTGCCCTAGCTGGTGTGGCTCAGTGGATAGAGCATTGGACTGCGGACTGGAAGGTCCCGGGTTTGATTCCAGTCAAGGGCACGTGCTCAAGTTATGGGCTCAATCCCCAGTAGGGGGCATGCAGGAGGCAGCTGATCAATGATACGCTCTCATCATTGATGCTTCTGTCTCTCTCTCCCTCTCCCTTCCTCTCCGAAATCAATAAAAATATATTTTTTAAAAAGAAAACAAACACTTGGGAAAAAAAGCCCCACCAAAATACTTATGGCTTAGCCTCTAAATGCTTACTTTTCAAATAGAAGCAGCCTAGATAGATAGACAGATGGATATAAATGTACAGATAGGTAGTATATAGATGAGAGACAGAAAGACAGACACAGAGAGCTGGCTGCCTTCCCAGCTCTCGCCTGTCTTGGGTAAACAATAATGTGCGCGTGAGCTCTCCTCCACCTTACTCTGCTCACAGGGGCCTCTGTGATCGCTGCAGAGATTGTGCTCTTGTTCATGGCTGCGTAGTATTCCTTCATGTTGGTGAATGGTGATAACTCGCTCAGTGCCCCACCAATGGGGATTGCTCCAATCTTCTGCTTTTACAAGTTTGTATAACATTTTAACAGAAATGGAGCTCCTTATGTACTTGCCTATAACTTGCTCTTTTGTGAATATAATTTGGTGTTATTATATTTGTCCATTTTGGTAGGAAAATACAACAGATGGGATTAATGGCAGATTAGATGTTTTCAGTGCCTCACTGAGAGCCCCAGAAAGTAGCCCGGACTGAAGGAAGAAGACAGAGCGGACACGCACGCAGGACACGTGCAGGCACTGCTCTGAGGACACAGGACCTTATCCCCACAGCTCTGTGAAGCAGAACTTCCTCCTTCAACAGAGGGGAAACTGAGGCAAGAGAGCCCAGGGATGCCCCGGGCAGCCCTGGCTGCTGCACCCTGCTGTCTGCTCCCAGCAGGCTGAGGCCCGGGGCTTTCACTGAGGCCTGGACTGAGAGACGCAGGAGGGCAGGGCCATCGGTGACGAGGGCTGTGCCTGGCACAGAGCAGGTGCGCCACAAATATCTATCAAGTGACCGCGTAGTGGGGGCTCGGCTGGCTCACATGTCGGGCCATCCTGATTCCCCAGTGGCCACGGCTGTAGTTTCCACACTCAGCCCACAGATGGCAGGTGGCCACCCCGTGGGGCCGCTCCCTTGAGAATCTGGCAAAGCCACCAGGGTGTGTGTGAGAAGTACCCAACGAGAATTCCTTTCCAAATAGACATCTTGGGAAGAAAAGTCTTGGCTGGCGATGTGAGATGTGGAGCAGTGATAAGAGGGACCCCGCTGGCAGAGCAACAGGCAGGCAAGATGCCCAGCCCTGAGATGGGGGTGGGGGCCCTGTGGGGGGATGGAGAGGGGAGGAAGGGGGGCCGGCCTTGTCTGGTGGGGTGGGAAGAGGAAGCGGTGAAAGCTGAGCCCTCCACACGCACCCCACCGACCTTCACACGCCTTGTTTTAAGATCATTTTAATTCAGCCCGTTCAGCTGCAGAGAGAGAAAACCTCATTTCTCTACTTGTTGTTGTCAGAGGACCTGTCCAGACAGGGGAAGACTCCTGCCCTAACTGTGCATTCACTGACCTTGAATAGCAGCATCAGCCTTCATTGTAGTGGCTTAGAAATGGCTTTTTAAAAAGAAAACAAAACGTAATATAAACTACAGGACAGCCTGCAAAAAGGCAAGTCTACCAGTTTTGCCAATAAAACGACTGGCTGCTTTAGAACAGGGTTAAGGTGAAGCAGGGAGCCGTTAAGGCCCTGAATGAGACAGGGCTCTCCAGAGAAACGGAACAATAGGATGTGCGTGTGCTTATTTGTTTGTTTATTGTAAGGAATTCACTCATGTGGCTTTGGAGGCTGACAAGTCAAACCAGAGACCCCGAGGCCAGCGTTTCAGTGGGAAGGCCGTCAGGCGGGAGGTGACACGTGCAGTTAACCAACACAGACCCCACATGAGCAAATGGGTCAGCTGCAGGCAGCAGGCCCGTGGGCCGAGCGGACACCGAGAAAGCCGGTCTCCTGCTTTTGGATAAAATAAGGGTCCTCGTCACCGTGACGGTGATTGGTCCAGGTGGGTATACTAGTTTCCCGGGGCTGCCGCAGCCAAGTGCCACTAACTGGGTGGCTTAAACCAACAAAAATGTAATGTCCCACGACTCTAGAGGCCGGAAGTGTGAGATCCAGGTGTGGGCAGGGCTGTGCTCCCTCTTGAGGCTCCAGGGGAGAGCCCTGCCTGCCTCTCCCGGCTTCTGGCCGCTGCTGTCAGTCCTGGCGTTCTGTGTTTTGTAGCTGCGTCACTCCAGAGCCCGGGGGTGGGGGTCTGCCATCACCACCACTCACCTCCCGGCCAGGGAGGCTAGCCAGCTGTTCCCAGTGGGCACTTCAAGTGGTCAGATCTTCCCCAGATGTTCTGTAAAAAAATACACCAGGCCTTAGATAGTTTGGGTCAGTGGATAGAGCATCGGCCTCTAGTCTATAACAATAAAAGCATAATATGCTAATTAGACCAAACGACCTTCTAGATGAAGCCGGGGCTGCGAGGGAAGCCCGGGTCCTGGGTGCCAGAGGGAAGCCGGTGCCAGCGGCCAGGGGAAAGAAGGCCTACTCTTGCACGAATTTCGTGCATCGGGCCTCCAGTATGGTAATGCTATGCTTAACTTTTTGAGGAAGTGCTGACTGCTTTCCCGTAAACACTTTTTAAGTTGTTTAATCCTAACTAACTCAATAAAGGAAACTGTTGGGCATTCCTTTGGGCCTAGGGACCTGCGGGAAGATTTCTGACACACCAAGGGTGCCCTGTGTGGGAGGGGGCGTTTGGAAACCACTTAGGGATCACTTGCTGTACCACCCAGGCGCCACGGGAGCGCTCTGGAGGCAACGCAAGCAGGCCTCTCCCTGGAGTAACTGAACCACGAGTGTTTTCAGGTGTCAGCAGAGAGGGGGTGGCATGGAGGTGGAGTGGATCGGTGCTGCTTTAGACAAGTCACCTGGGAAGCCAAGGTGAGGCAGTGACATTGAACAGAAAGAGGGAAAGACGGCTGGGACCTGCAGAGGAGTAGGGCCAGTGTCCCAGGAGGAAGAGCCGCACGTGCAGAGGGTCTGAGAAGGAATATGCTTGGGTTTTGGAAGAACCAAAAGGCCAGTGTGGCTGGAACAGGGAAGGGGTGGGGGTGGTCAGTGATGAAGCTGGACAGGTGGGTGGGGTGGGGTCATACAAGCACCTCTGCCCCCATCGGGCCCAGAGTGGAGGAGCCAGGTATTAATCAGCAGCCCCCCAATGAACATAATGATACAACAAGCACATGCTCCTGGGCCTGTAACAGAGGAATTTGACTGAGTCTGAGACTTCAGGGGGGAGACAGAGAGATGGGCTGAGTGGAAGCCAATCATCAGCTAAACTTTCCAGTCAGACAAGACAGCTTGTGCAAAGGCCCTGGGGAGCCTGAGTCAGAGGACCTGGGGGAAGCAGAGTGGGGAGGGGCAGCCCGGAAACCTACAGCAGCAGAGACGAGGGGATGAAGGTTGAGAGACAGGCCCATTTCATCCTGAATGCGGTCAGATCTGTGTTTGAACCAGGCTGGAAATGACTGTGACTTAGGCCAGGGGCAGGCATGTGAGATGGAATCCAGAGAGCGATTCCAAGGAGGGAAGAGCTAGTGTCTTGGTGACCAGACCGGTGACATTTCTGCCAGGGAAGGGTACAAATTGAGGCGAACGTGCCACATGTCTAAATGGTTGAAAGTTCTAAATCAAGTTTTTATATAATAAAAGCATAGTGTGCAAATTGTCCCCTTGTTTGGGAGGTCGCCTGGGCATTCGACCAGGGGGTGAGGCCAGCCGGGGGAAGTGAGGGAGGCCCCAACCAGCGGTGGTGGCAGGTGGCTGGGAAAGGGAGGGAGTACCCAGCCTGCAGCCAGCAGCTATTAGGGACCCTGCCAGTGCATGAATTTCATGCACTGAGCCTCTAGTGTTAAATAAAATGCATTCTGTCCTCCTGTTTTGACATACACAACCTCACAACAACTTGGGAGCCAGATTCCAACTGGAATTCTCTGACTCCAGGTCCACTGGTGGGCATCCCAGCTCCATGCGGCAGCTCCACCCAGGTCCCCTGCAAACGGCTTCCTCTGGCCACACCTTGGGCCTTGGGATACTCACCCCAGCAGTGGGGTCACTGGATGACGAACCCATCGAGGGGTTGGAAGTTGGGCTGGGAATCCCAAGGTCACAGGTACCTAGAGCTTGATCCAGGACAGTGAGCACCTCTGGGCCCTGTGTGGCTGGGTAGGACTAGACTGGAGCCCTTTGGAGAGTGGCCAGGGCAGGCCCGCCTCTTGTCCAGGTCTGGGTGGGGCTGTTGGCTGTAGACTGGATCTCATGGGATGGAGTGTTTATGAGATACTGCAGATGCTTTGGGGTTCCTGGCCTTCAGAATAGAAGATGGCTTATGCACAAAGATGGGGTGTCTCTGGAAAGAACTAGTTTGGGGGTAAAAAGTATAGGCTCCTCTCAAACATGCTAAGGGGTCGTTGAGACATCCATGTTGAATTTTGGGGTCTGGTGCTCGGAGGAGAGATCAGGCCTGGAGATATAAATGTGGAGTCTTTGTTGAGTAGACGGAAACTGAGGCAGTGGCCTGGACAAGATCACCCAGGGGCAGAGAGGAAAGCAGCAGGAGGGAGCAGGGGGCTTGGATTAAACACTCACAGACCAGGGCATGCAGACAGGGGCAGAGGACCTGTAGAGCTGAGTACCCCTCGGCAAGCACCGCTGAATGCTCCTGTGCAGCGATATTGTAAACGTAATTCAGCAAGCTCTGCTCAGTGCCACGCTGCCCGAGACCCGAGCTTCCAGACGTGCGTCTCCAGGGCAGGGAGCAAATGACCTTACAGGAGACACCCGGGGGGGGGGGGGGCGCGCAGACAGGGGGCCACTGGGGCCCGAGAAGTGACAGTGAAAAGGGAGGCTTGTGTTAAATATTTGCTTGAGAAAAGCAGAAGGTGGAACCAGTCCTTCCAACCCCCCACCCCCACCCCACATCCTTGCTCCCCCAATACCAGGGGTGTTTCTGGAAATCCCTGCCAGGGACCAGGCTCCAGGTGCCCTGTTCTCCCAAGTCACTTTTTTCAGAATTAATGAGTGTAGACTCGCAGCACTGAACAAGACATGTCCTTTGAGCAAATAATATTCAAATCATGCAGGAATTTCTCAAAAGCAGCCTAGCGAGTTGCAGCAGGAGCAGTCCTTCGAGGAGAGGGCTGGACCTGGAGGAGCAGAGGGCAGGAAGGGGCGAGGCTGGTGATGGGCGTGGCCTGAGGGGCGTGGCCCGAGGAGGGGGCGGGGCCTGAGGAGGGGGCGGGGCCTGAGCAGGCGGGCCTCCACCGCGCAGTCCGGCGGGCCGATCCACGGGAGGACCTGGAGCACGGGCGTTAGTACAGGCCCGGAAAGTCGGTCGGTCCTGGACTGGTTGCAGGACCTACGTGACCATCCGCCCAGAGGGCTGTGTGGGGGACGCGCTGCCCCGGGAACCCTGAAGAGGACAGATGGGTTTCCACTTCACCAGCAGCACACCCACCACAAGTGACAGATAACCCGCACTATTATGCCCGGTGCACGCAAAGCGCGCTGTCTCCTCGGAGCCCACGCCATCCTGAGCGGGGACCCCAGGCCCCCCATTTCAGGGGACCTCCTCCAGGAGGGTCCTCGCTCCTGCCTTCTCCGTGGCCTGCGGGGTCGGTCGGGTCCCCACGCGGGGCGTAGGGGCTGCTCCCGCCTCGCGGGGCTCACAGGGCCAGCGCGCGGTGCTAGACGCTGCGTGGAAAGGGGCGGTCCGCTCGCAGCCGCCACGCCCGGAGGCTCGGACAACACAGCGCCCATCGCCATGCGCTGTCCCAGGGCGCGAGGCCGGAGGAAGCGGATTTAGAAGTTTTTAGGGAAAATGCCCGCAGAAGCCCCGGGGCTGGCATTTCCCCCTGCCGGGCCTCCCCTCCTCGCCCGCGCACCCCGCGGGGTAGCTGTCTCTCTGAGCGTCTGGCCCCAACCCACCTGGCCTCGAGCCCCTTTGGTGTCCCCATCTGTCCAACTACCTTGCACCGTCCACACTGCACTTGTCAGACGTGGTCGCATTCATTCATCCTCACGATGGCCACCTCCCTCACCCGAGATTCAAAACTGGCACTATTATTCACCGAATGTTTTTCTTTAACTGGGTCAACTTTTGTTTTTACCTAAAATGTATTAAAAGTGAAATTATGCTTTGATTAAAGGTTTCCATTAACACTAGTGAGCTCAATTATTTCAGAGAATATGAATGTTTACAAAATTATGTATAAGTTTCTTTGTTTATTAAGAAAATTGCTACAGCCTAGCTGCTTTGGCTCAGTGGATAGAGTGTCGGCCTGTGGACTGAAGGGCCCCAAGTTCGATTCCAGTCAAGGGCATGTACCTTGGTTGCGGGCACATCCCCAGTAGGGGGTGTGCAGGAGGCAGCTGATCGATGTTTCTAACTCTCTATCCCTCTCCCTTCCTGTCTGTAAAAAATCAATAAAATATATCTTTAAAAAAAAAGAAAATTGCTACAGCTTATTAAGATGGAAAGTTCAATTTAATATCCAGTTTGTTTTATTTAGTATTCTGATAAGATTTATTGTATTTTAAAGCTAACATTGAAAGCTTTAAATTGTAATTTGTATGTGCATAATCTCATACATAAACTGCTGTTAAGGTTTATTTTTTTAAAAGGTTACAAATAATAAAACATCTTCACTTCAAAAATGACAGATCTTGATATTTTGTGTCTTTTAAATTATTCCAACAAAGTTATTTGCTGTGTTCATTTTAAATCTTTTCACCTAGTGTGTCACTGCTTCTTGCTATGCTTTTATTATGTTAAATATTTGCACAACAAAACAAGACTAAATCTTTTCTTCTCTTTTGACACTTTAATCTCATAAATTAACTTAACACCAAGTGTTCTCTGTCAACAATGGGCAGACATCTTCTATCTCTCCCTTGGGGTTTCTTAGATGGCCATGGAGTAACCATGAAAATTTAACCTCTGGAATTATAAAATAAATAATGCTAAAATAGTCATTAACATATTACCACTGGAAGTTACTTTTATACTTGGAAAATACACCTTACCTGCAAAGACCATTAACCATTAGCATAAATAACATGGACTCTGCTATAATCCCAGAGGGTTTAGAACCCTGTTTGTCTTCACAGTCCCTGCAAGGACTTCCTTTTCCTCTGAGAGATTAGAAAACTGACCTTCACAGTGGGCTGAGTGGTCCCGGTGAGGATCATGGCCAAGTCTGGAGGAGGGAGGGGCCTGGCCAGTCCACCCAGCCCTGACCGTGATCTTTGTCCGGTGACCTTTGTCCCCTCTCCGATTGCAGCTGGGGGCTGGCTCTGGAGGCCTGGGTATGTATATCTGGTTCCCTGGCCTCGGAGCCCAATGCTGAGCCTACAACACATAATTCATAAATAGTTGTCAAGTGAAGCAGGCAGATGGTTAAATAAATGGAATTGGTGTGTCTTATTACGAGGCTGGAGTGCACTGTTAGTCACCTATGCTTCTGAGACTGTGGAGTCTACAGGGAGTCTAGAGAAAAGTGCCCGGAGCTGAGTCCAGGAAACAGCTCAAATGACTCATTTTCTAGTCAATTCATTTCCCCCCACCGAAATAATGACGTTTACTGTCAAGTTATTTTTATATACTCAAAATCCCGATGATTTTTAAAATGTTGGTTTAAATGTTGGTCCCATGTGCTACAAACAAGCTTGAAGTAACCATCGGGCACTACAGTCTCAAGGAGATCCATTTTGATGCCCTGATTATGCGGAAAAGGATGTGGCAGCCTGTTCTTCCTGAAACAAGCCCTGCCCTGTTCCCACCAATGAGTACTCTCCAAAGGGAAGCCCCGTGGGGGTGGGGAGGTCCGGCTGTGTACAGAGCAGAAATGGGGCTCCATTATTGGCTGTGAAATAAGATGATCATGTGCCCCGTGGAAGGTAGGGCTACGATCAACCTCTGCTTTTCAGGTGATTAACGCAAAAATACAGTCAATATCATTAGAATGCTCCCTCTTTTACCGCCCCATCCTGCCCTCATTATTCATCTCTGTTGGCTAAGAATAAATAAGCCTTTGCTCACCCTACAGTCCTACAGGAATGAGTGGTTTTTAGCTGTGAAAGTTTGCAATCACACTTCTCGACCTCTGACCCAGATATCTTTTCAAGAGTGGGGTATATTCAGGCTGAGATCCACCCCCTCCCCCCACCACCAAAGGTGGAAAAACATCTTTCCTTCTCAAGCGATTTGTTGTACGTAAAAAAGACACCGTTTTCTAGGAAAGGATGGGGAACTCCTGTTGTCTTTGGAACATTAGATTTGCTAATGGGGTAATTAAAAAAAAAGTTACTTCCAAAGTGGAAACTCCGGCGTAAAAAAAAAAAAAAAAGCAACATATGATTCCCCACGAATTCTGCTGAGTGGAAAAAGCCAATTCCCCAAGATCCCTCACTAGATGACTTCGGTGTGCAAACGCAACATATTTTAAAATATCACACTTTTAGAGATAGAGGAAAGATTAGTGAGAGCTAGGGCTTGGGAGTTCGGTTATAAAGGGACCACCGGGGGTCCTTGCCTGATGGAATGTTCTTTGTAAAGACACGAACCTACTACGCAGGCGCTAACATTGAATAGAAGTTAATACACACAAAGGAGGACGGGGAAATTTGGGGAAATTTTATTAAGATCGGTGGGTTGTATCAAAGTCAATATCTTGGTTATAATATACTTTTCCCCCTTTTTTGCAGTTTTGCGAAGTGATAGCACGGGGGGGAAACACGGCAACTGAGTTATTTCCCACCTCTGCCTGAAGGATCTAAAAAGTGACCGTCTCTGCGCGCCCGGCCTTTGCCCACGTCCCGCGGTGGGTCTGCGGGGCCCGGCTGCAGGGGCGGGGCCGGCGAGGGCGGGGCGCGCGGCGGAAGTGACGTCAGGGGCGGGGCACGCACCTGAGCACCTGGGCAGCGGCCGCGGCTGGGGCGGCTCAGCTTGGAGGCGAGAGGCGAGCGATGGAGGGCGACAGCGAGAGCCCTTGGGCCCTGGGGCTGCTGCGCACCTTCGACGCGGGCGAGTTCGCGGGCTGGGAGAAGGTCGGCTCGGGCGGCTTCGGGCAGGTGTACAAGGTGCGCCACGTCCACTGGAAGACGTGGCTCGCCATCAAGTGCTCGCCGAGTCTGCACGTCGACGACAGGTCAGCGGCCCAGGCGGGGGCGCCGCGGCGCCGGGGCGGGCGCCGGGGCCGGACTGGGGTGGGGGTGCTTGGGTTCCAGGGGTCCCCTTCTCTCCACCTGCGTCGCTGACGGAGCAGCCTCGGATGGGAAAACCGAGCGCCGGGCGAAGGCGTAACGCCCCGCGGTGTCCGCGCGGTTTGCCTGCCCAGAGTGGGCAGGTTTGGGGAGCTCCGGTCTAGTTACGCGCGCCGGTCCCCGAGCTGCGGCTGCTGGGAGCGACCTCCTGGGCCCGCGTTTGCCCGAAACGGCGTGAAGTGCCCGGTGGTGCTACCTGGCGTCCCGCGAAGCGCCGGATTTTTAGGGTCGGGAGCGCCACTTGCGCCGGGACCCGCGTCCCTCGGCGGCGCGTCCGGCCCTCCCGGAACGCCTGGCGCTGCGGTCTGCGCCCGGCTTAGCAAAATTGCCGTGTGGGGATCTGGGCTTTGTGAGTGAGTTAGACTCCGTTTGACTCACGTACTAATTTACGTTGGAGCACAAATTGGTGTAAGTCGGTAATTATTTCGGTCGGAAGCACCGGCTTGGCTGGGTCCTTGGCGGAGCCGGGCTTCCTGGGCGCCTGGGCACTTTTGGGCCTGGCGGTGCGGCCGCCCCAGTTACATTTGGAGGTTCTAGCAGGGGAGCGCAGCTACTCGTATACCCTTGACCGAAGACCGGTCCTCTCCTCGGGGGGGAAGGTCGTCCTCTTCGACCGAGCGCGCAGCTTCGGGAGGGACGCACATGGATCGGTGAGGGAGGAGGGGGACACCCGCCTAGCCAGCCAGATCAGCCGAATCAACCCTGGCGATCAATGGGGTGACAGATGTCGCAGCCAGATCGCCCTCACATCCCGCCCCAGTTACATTTGCTGTGTCGTTGCGGTCTGCAGAATTTGGGGGCGTAGGGGTGGGAGGAGGAGGGTCTTGAGAAGCAGCTCGTTTGTTTTGTTTTTTTTTCTTCTCCACTTGCGTGTGCATTTTAATAATTTATACGCAGGCTTCCACTGCGTCCATTTAAATAAATGACTTAACCTTGTGTTGCCGGTGCGCGCAGTAGGTCCTTTTGCTGCGGTGAAGTTTGCATTCTCTGTGGAAGTTGTGTTTGTATTGTGTGTGGAGTTCCCCCTTAGACAGTAAGCCCGGGACCCAGCCGACGCAGAAAAGCAGCTCCTTTCAACCCCCGCCTCGCCTTTGCCGGCTCAGAGGCCTGGCTTCTGATCCTCCGCTTACTGGGTGATGGGGCCACTTTTCACCTTAGGATGGTGGTGAGGTTCCAGGTGACTGTGTCACAGGACTAAGGGACATAGAAAGACTGTAGTGTGTGTGCTTCCCCAGGGCCCAGTGCAAGATGAAAGACGTTGTGTTTTCATCCTGGCCTAGGAGATAATACAGTAGATTGGTGGCCTTTTGCTGAACACCGCTAACGCAGTGTTTTCTGGAAACTTCAGTAGAGGGGTGACATAAAAATATCTAACTGGGCGGGGGGGTGGTCAGAGGCTTGTGAGGCTGTGCACGCTCTTTCCCCCTCGCTGGGCTGCAGTCCTGGGAACTGCTCAGGCCGGGAGGGGCGCTGTGGTTATTTTGATGAAATGCAAACCCCACTTTGAATACCAGCCAATGGTTAGATGTGAGAGCCAAGACCCTCTCTGCTCCCTCAGGGTGTTTGTACGGGCTTGGGGGCATTTGTCTGATGGCGTCTTCTGGTGGAAGTGTTTCATTCATCAGCGAAGGTTTTACCACCGGCTTCTTGTATTGGAAGAGGAAAGTAAACAAGCCGGTGGGTCCCCAGGCAGATGAGTCAGCCTGCATCCTAGAATCTGTTATTTCCAGCGACTGGCCCTTGTGTCTTGGGTGGCCCTGCGGGAGGTGGGGTTTCTCCGCTTGAGGCGGGTCACCTAGGATCTCGCATAGCCTGCCTGAAAAGTGTTTTGTCCTTTAACTGGAAGCCTTTCCTGCCCTGCCCTAACCAGGCAGGTGGTGGCATGTCCAGGTCAGCATCGCCCGGCAGGAAGCATTCATCGGCTGCACTGAGCAGTCTGCAGCTCTGTCTTTGTAGCAGAGGTTGAGCTCTCCAATTGAGGAGATGCTCAAACCCTTGCTCTTGGCCAAGAAAATTCTGGCTGAATTTACTGGATTCAGCTTGAGCTTCTCCTCGGCGTTTGTGTCTCTCGTGCTGCAGTGCAGCTCCAAGGGTGGGGACCTTTCTCCTGCCAAGGGCCATTTGGATATTTATAACATCATCCCAGAGCCATACAAAATTATCAACTTAAAAATTAGCCTGATTAGCCTGCTACATTTGGTCAAACATTTAATTATCTCACCCCTAATGCCTTGTCAGGGCCAGACCAAATGATACGAGGCCCACAGGCCAGACATGCCCCACCCCTGAGCTAGACCTTCAGATTGTTTACTTATGATTGGCAGGTTGTCCTCATTGCCTTTTAAAAATATTTATTTATTTGTTTGTTTGTTTTTTGTTAATCCTCACCTTAGGATATTTTCCCTTTAATTTTTAGAGAGAGTGGAAGGGAGAGAGACAGAGAGAAACATCGATGTGTAAAGAGAGACACATGGATTGTTTGCCTTCCACTCGTACCCCGATCGTGGCCAAAGATTGAGCCTGCAATCGAGGTACATGCCCTTGACCAGGAATTGAACCCTCAACCCTTCAGTCCTAAGACCTTATTGCCTTTATTTTAAAAATATATTTTTGTTGATTTCAGAGAGGAAGGGAGGAGAGAGCGATAGAACATCAATGATGAGAGAGAATCATTGATCGGCTACCTGCTGCATGCCCCCCACCCGCATGCGGGGATTGAACCCCCAACCGGGGCATGTGCTCTCACGGGAGTAGAACCCTGACCTCCTGGTTCACAGGTCCACGCTCAGCTATTGAGCCACACCGCCGGGCCTCATTGCCTTTTCAATGAGCTGCCTCCCATCCCCACCCTGCTATTTGCAAGCTCTTCCCTAGTAGGAAATAGGATTTTCCTGGGTGCAGCCCCAGCCCTGTATTCCTCTGGGCTAAGTCTTTACTCGCCTGTTTGAAGGGCAGCACCTCTCACTCCTGCCAAGGGAGCCTGGGTGCTGGGTTGCAGCCCCCTCAGGAGCTTCCCATGTACAATCTAAAATTGGCCCCGTACGTGGAGGGCAGGGAGAGACTGGAGGAAAAAGGTAGACCACTGCAGATGGGGCAGGGCCAGGTTTAATAAACAAGGGACATTACAGCTTGTCTGGGGTAACTCCAAGACAAGTCGTTTCCAGCTTCTGCCCAGCCAATCTTAAAAGTGAAGGTAGAGGCCTTACTGGAGTCAGTCAGGAGCCCTGGTCTTCTTGACGACCTCTCCTAGCTCTGGGCCTTTCCTTCCCCCTCCATTTGTTCCATCAGGACCTGCCACAGGTACAGGTGTGGGCCAGGCCGGTTTTCATTGGCTGCTTGTACCTCCAGGCAGGTGGGGGTCTCCTGGCTGCAGCCTTCATGCCACCCCTTAGCACAGCAGGGCCTGGTCCCCTGCAGCGCCCTGGGCTCCACAGAGCAGCAGGTGGCCCCAGCCCTGTGAGCCTGCACTTCATTAGAGGAAGGTGGGGGCTGCCCAGACCCAGAGACCCCTCTAGGGGGGGGGGCGGGGGCAGGTGGCAGGTGGCGCATCCTTGATCCGTGTTTCCTGCTCCTTATGGCTGACCGTCTTTAGGGGGGCCTGGGTGGAGTCTGGGGATGGGGGTGTTACCATTAGGCCAGAACTGGTGACTCCAGGGGCCCCCTTCCTCCAGCCCAGCCCTGAGGCTAAGAGGAAGCCCTGAGTAAGTGAGCGCCTGGCTGGGCACCGGCCCAGCAGCTAATGCTCCATGGGCACCGGCTCGTCAGGACGAGCCCGAGCAACCCCCGGGTCTGTAAGTACAGGGCTGACAATCCGACAAGCCCGTTTCTTGTCAGTTTTAAAAATAGCAGTGTGGGAACCCTGGCAGGCTCCCTGGGAAAGTAATTGGGTTGGTGCGAGGCGAGAAAGCTGTGCTGGGAGCATCCGCTAACGAGTGATTACACCATTTTCCCGCTGTCTTTTCCCAAACCTGGTTCCAGATTTCCCCCTCGGAGGAGCGCTTTGTTAGGGAAACACTTTTCACCTCCCCCATCCTGGCCCGTCTTCCCAGAGCCTTTACTGCTTCTCCGCCTGTGTAGGACCCGGGGCCGCCCCTTCCCCTTTTCCAGAGTAAACGTTTCCAGGAAGGGAGGAAAGCCGCAGGAGGCCTTTGGTCTTGGGGATCCCTGAGCACGGAGGCTTCTCCAGCCAGTATCTTAGAAATGATCCGCCTGATATTACTGCTATTTCTCTCCACCCAATTCCCTTCTTGGGATTGGTGGTGGTGGTGGGATACGCTTTGACTAGCTCTAAATGAGAGAGAAAAATGGAATTAATGTAATTGCTGTTGAGAAAGGATCTTTAACCAGTTGAAGCTCAACCGGGTCCTGTTAATACCCAGAGATTTTCCATCCAGGACCAGGGGGGACGATGGGGTGGGACCCTTTCCCCATTCCTGCTGGGAAATGGAAGTTGCAATCCTTCCCCAAAGGAGGAGATGTTTTGAAATGATTACGGGAGAGAAATATGACGCCAGCCTACTGAGCTGTGCCTAACTGTAGCTACACGTTTAGCGCAGCACAGTATTTGGGGGGTTTTAAGTGAGACTGATGTCAGTGGATTTGGGTGGCGCAGAACTTCACTCCCAACAGTGAAGAATGGGGTGGCCCTGACCGAGACTTGGCACCGTGAAGGTTGGAGCACTCCTCGGCCCCACCAGCATTGGGGTTTAGGGACTGTTCTGAAAAATCTCTTGGGGTCCTAAAATAATAGTAATAATAACAATATTGCTACGGTC